TGTGCAAGAGTTGAGAGCTCTCCTTGCCGCCATGGTCATAGACTCTCTGCCTGAGGCAGTGACCGTCGCGGGCTTTATGGAGGGCCTCCAAGTTGGCGTTGCCAGAACGGAAGTCTTTTCGAGCAAACCCGTTCTCGTTTGAGGAAGCTGTTGGAGAGGCATGGAATGCCGAGGTAAACTTTAAAGCCGCCAAACCTTCCAATTATAGTTACTCGAGTGATGGGTCTGTTCCCATATTCCCATAGACTGTAGTCAAGTGAAAGAAGAAAAAGCTGAGCTTCAAGCTGCGGAGCAAATAATTGTGCACAGATGTTATATCTGCAACAGCACATGCCATCTGATGGCAAAATGCCCTGCAAGAAAGGCATAATTGTTCTTAAAGGCCGGTGTCTCATGGATAAATCCTCTGGTTTGCCGCGGGAAAACGGAGGGACCCAGTAGGCGCGAGGCGCCCTACTGTTGAAAAACTATTTTTTTGAGTTTCTACAAGGTAGAAGTAAACGTGATTAACCCAAAAGAGACCCAAACTCTCAAAAACGGAACAAGAATGCAAGCAATCTTGCTAGTCGTCGAAGGGACAGTTAAGGACACGCGTGCTACGGTACCTAAAGTGCCGATGGACTTAAATGTAAAGTTCTTGGACTTTAAAAGCATAATCCATCTATACCAATAAATGGCGTTGTAAGTACGTAATATTAAAGAGCTGGCAGTGACTTTATCCAGATTGCATATGCTAAATCCCACTCTCACTGAGTGATACTGCTTCATCTTGGACTTTGCGCTTCTTTCGATTCGGTATGAGTTGTGGCTCAGCAAGTGACGCCCAAATAATCGACAATGGCTTGGGTGTTCGCGAGATCAGGGTGCGTCTTTAGCAGAGCTACTATAGCCAAGCTACTTATGCACTACGTGCAAAGGAAGACAGGTTTAAAGAGCTTATAAGGCTTACGGTTTTTAACCCTCCCAAGGCTAGCTTCACAAGCTTGTGCCTTTTGGTTGTAACAACACCGTCTCCAGAGACCAGTATCATATACACACTTCCTTTATTCAATGTCTAATGCTCTAGCACTTGTACTGTACAGAGCAGGTTTGAAACTGATTTATTTAATGTTTGTCTTCTTGCACTAAATATAGAAGCACCTACTCTAGACTTAGTGCTAGTCGTTATTTATCTGGCTCTATAGCCAATTAATATTTCAACATGCATAATCACTATACTTAGTTAAGGATAGTGACCACGTGGCTCTCAGCCAAGCTTTCAATGCACAAGATGGAGGTAAGCGAGTGTGACCACGACCTAGAATATCCAATCAATCCATCCGGATAAAAAAATTACATTACAAAAAAGTCAACGATGCGACCCTTCGTACCTTAGGTACGATCACATCAACCTACCACTGTACCCAAGGTACAGCAACACCACATTGGTGTGGCAGGTGTGTATGTACAATACACAACTTTCTGTAACCCCGTTACACCCTCCCACACCAATCCGTGAGACCCGATGTACGCACGATTTTCAAACTTATGTGGAGTTTTGTCGATTTCATTATCTTCTCAATTTGCTTGCCTCGCAAAAAGTGCTTCGCACTTGGTTACAAAGCTTTGTGTTACGACACACGCTTTCTAAGCTTCCTTGCGTTACGACACACGCTTTTTAAGCATCCTTGCGTTACGACACTCGCTCTTTGAGCATACAGTGTATTGCACTCACGCTAAAGCATTTAGTGTTACGACACCTGCATATAAGCGTTAAGTGCCTAGAACTTGGTAATAAATTCATTAGCGTTTACGAATACTTGCTTTTGTACTATTACAGTGTTTTTGACACTTGGTTTTAAAGCACTGTCCATACTGCACTTGCTCCGTTATGGATGCTGCAATGCGTCGTAACATCGTTGAAAACGAAGACAGTGACGTTGCATCCAGGGATAGTGGCGCCGAGTTTCCTTTAAGTTATTTGACCCCGAGTTCACCACGCACGCCGATCGAAAGACGTCTATCGCGCTTCGTGTCTACTTTCCCAAGGGAAACAACTGCGTTGCGTCAGAGCCACCGCTTTTCCTCTCGTGAGGGTACCGACGAAGAAGTAAAAAAAACTCTTGACACTGCACAGCGTCGTCAACTCGATGACGAAGCACGAGCGGCCGCTTTGGCACGGCTTCAACAAACCTTTTCACGACGTGATGATGGGTTTGTGCCCCGAGACCCCAATGAGAAAGCTCGACGAGCTGCATCTTAATCCTTGCGTAAGTATGTCATTGGGTCCCAGACCCACAATGCTTGCAAGTTTGCACGCGCCGCGCTTCGCAAGCGTCTCCCTTACTCCACAGGAGTTTACGATGAAAGCGTATCAGGAGCGACTGTTACGACAGTCACTTGGAGTGTCTGTGCATCCACTGAACGACATACCAGTGGTGCTCGCACCAGGTGAAACATATGAGCAAGATGATCACCAGTACACCCGTTGGGTAGATCGAGCGCGTAAACTCTTAAGTCTTTCTGACTTGCGCTTGAGCGCTAAAGAACAGGACATTTAGTTAGAACGGCGTCTACGTTTTAATTTTGTTAATTTTGAAGCGAAGCGCAAATTATCTTCTACATACAGGTCAAAGAATTTTGATGGTCAAGCTTCTGAAGCTGTTGCCCGTACCTCTCACGCAAGTGATGTACCGGCGTCGACTACTTTAGAAGATCAGAGGCGAAGCCATCCTATCGACCTTGCTTCCACAGCACTTTGTGATAAGATCATCCGAAGACAGCTGTAGTCGCTTCTGACCGTCATAGTCAAAAACGTAAACGGCGTCAGGGAAATCATGCCGGAGGAGTACCTCATAATTCCACGAGTCGTACGACTGGGGATAACCTCTCCACCTTACCAGATATTGGGTATGATCCTGGTGACGACGCCGAGCCAAGAAAAGCACCACGTGGAACTGTTGATGACCCAGTTCATCAATCAGTGTCGGCGGGGGTCTGTAACCCATGGATCCATGATTCTATGAGATCGAGCATCGCCTGACAATTCTGGAGCGTGATGATCTTGGATCAGTAACGTCTCACCTGTCATCGTTTGATGAGCGTATCGATCGACACCGTCGATCCTTTGAGCGTTATCTCTGTGAGACCTCTGATTGCTTAGCGGCGTTTTAGCGATCTCGAGCCGAGCTACATTGTGAACTTGACTTCCTGGTGCGCCTCCAGCGTCCATATGCACCTCCAATACCGTACTACCGGGTGTATGGGGACAGCTCCTCAAAGTCCACCGATGCTGGGTTGAGATATGGCTTTAGTAAGCCCACATAGAACATAGGGTGTGTTCGCATCTTCTTCGAAAGATTAAGCGTATAGACTAAGCCTCTCTTGCTTTATGACCTTGAATTGTCCAATAAAGCGTGGACGTAGTTTGGTTTTATATACCGCCAAAACAGCACGAGTAGGAAAATTCCTAGCGTTTAATAAAACCAAATCTCCCGCTTTGAGCTCGTGTTCGTTCTTTCTGCCTTTGGCATTTGCTTGTTCCTTCTGAACGTCCTGGCTTTCAGCCATAGCGTCATTGACGCAACATAATAAGTCAAAACGCGTTGAAAGAAACGCTTCCATCTTCTTGCGAATCGCAACAGGGCTGATATCAGCCAAGCCTTCGGATAATTCTCCCCCCACTAAGACCTGATGTGGCAGGGATTAGCGTTGATGGAAAGCGAGGATTGACCAAACCTTTCATATAGAATGGGGTGAAGCCTGTCAAGGCATGCACCGCGTTATTTAGCGCAAAATCAATAAGTGAGGGCATTGTGCTCCCTCCATGCTTTGGTGTTTCAGCACAAACACTTTGAAGCATATCGCCAATAACGCGATTCACGCGTTCTGTTTGACCATCGGTCTCTAGATGATCCGCCGTGGACATGTCCAGTCTACTGCCCGACTTTGCCATTGGCGGTGATCTCTTGCAAGTAAACGCTGAGGGTTGGGAACGTGTCATCGCGTTTGAATCTCTCCAGCTTAAATCTGCGGAAGAACCATCCAGTTCATGATATGGAGCTACTTGCGATAAGGTATACCATTGTTGAGTTCAGAACACACCTGTTGGGCTCAGAGCCGTTTGTGATGTATACTGATCATACGTTGCTACGAACAGCAACACAGTCACCTCATCTCTCGCAGAAAATGGCTCGTTGGAATTCCTTTTTTGCGGATTATAACTTCGAGGTGGATTATAAGCCGGGAAAACAGAATGCATTGGCTGACGCGTTATCGCGTAGACCTGACTATGAGCTTGCTCATCTTACTGTTGTGAGTTCGTCAGTAACGGATCGTATCCGTGTGGCGTATGCACGTGATGAGGCATGCGTTGCCATTCTGCAGGCGATGGATAGCGTAGCGTTTGAAAACGCTAAGTTAACGATGTCACCACGTAATCGTGCGCGATTACATCGCTATGCACTGACCAATGGTCTGTTGTACTATAGTACGGGGTCGGATGACCAGCCGATGTTTTAACAATTAAATCAATTACTTGTATACGCCTCCAGGATCTGAAAATCCTTCAATAAGGTTGTTGTCAACCGCAATAGCCAACAGAGTTTTACTTACATTAATTTCTTCCGTACAGATGATTGGCGAGATTAATAGCGTCTCTGTTGCCCTGAAATGAAGGAAAAGCACCTAAGCAATAGCTGAAAAATATGCACCAGTGATCACAGTTCACTTCTTAGATCACAGGAAGTGCTATCTCGAAGCCTACTCACAACATCTGGCACCTGACCAATTCTATGGGATCCCGCAGCTGATCGTGACGTCAACTGGACAACATTGACTGTGTGGCTTCTACACGAAAATTCTGATTACTAGCAGGTCAAAAACACAATACACAGTACTAATCAATCATACCTTTCATTCCTGACTAACTATCCGCCATACTGACTCCGAAGTGGCGCGTAACGTGACGAAACAAACGCCAATATTTTCATGAGCTCGCAATACTATGACGCTGTCTATCCTTACTTAAACACCTTCGAGTCGGCAATAGGTTTGCCTTCCAGCTCGTCCTCATTACACCAATAAGCGGCGACACGGGCCTTTGTCTCATCGTTCAGCTCCGCCTTCGTCCAGGTGTAGTACTCAGCGTCCGGGTTGGCCTCAACCATATGCTGCGCCGAGTCACCACGGAACAGCCAGCAGCCCGTGATGATGATCTCCGAGCCCTCAGCACCGCACACATCCATCACACCGAACGCGTACTTACGCATAGCCTCCGAACGCTGTAGGAAGCCGCCCACAGCGTTGCACGTCATAAACATCTTCGTATTCTCGTTGTTGTAGTTGTAGTCGCAAAACCACAGTGAGTAGCCCTCCGTGTCAAGGTGCTCCCAAAACCACGTCATGGCATCGGCCAGATTCTTTGTGTTTGAGTATTGCACCTTCCACGCATCGAGGTTCAGCGATGACGGCTTCTCACGGTTCAGCACAGCCAGCGGGTGCTCCACCTTCCTTGGCTTGGGAGCCTCCTCTTTAGGGGCAGCTTTTTCCTTCTTAGGGGTCTCCTTCTTACCCTTTTTCGCCGAGCTATCGCCCTCAGCGGTTAGAGCCACGTCAATAAGCGGCACGTCACCGACAACGGCCTGGAACTCTGACTGGTTTACGAGGGTCAAGAACCAACGGTTCACGGCTGAGTATGGCTTGCGGAACTCCTTGTCCAGCACGAGCTTGAACGGATAAATAAGGGCCGATGCGACGACAATATCGGCAAGGGTGATTTGCTCACCCACAAGGTAGGTGCGCAGGTGCAGGTGATTCTCAAGGGTCTGAAGAGCCTTCTTCACATCATCTTTAGCCTTACTAAGAGCGGCAGCGTTGAATTTACCAACACCCAGAATAGGGTGCACCCACACCTCAAGAGGCACCTCAAGCTCATAGGCGGAGAAGTCGATCCACGAGTCTACCTGGCCAGACTCAAAGAACGTCTTGCCGTATAAACCAGTATCCTGGCGCAGACGAGCAACATACCGAGCAATAGCACCGCTTTCAAAGATACAGCCCTCGTCAGTCTCCAGAATGGGCACCTTACCAGCTGGAGTCTTTGCTTTGAACTCTGCTGACTTGATGTCCTTGGCAAAGTCAAATTCTGGCAATTCTATGTCAATGCCGTTAAACTCAGCAGCGATAAGAACCTTAAAGACACGATAATTGCCGGGATACGTGTAGAGCTTCTGCTTGGTAGTAGTAACAACAACAACAACAACAACAACAACGGATGTCACGTGAGTATCATCATTTGCATCAGCTACAAATAGGATCAACAATGTTACCATCTTGACAGTTTGGGAGAGAAAGATGAGATGATGCAAAACGAATGGAGCTAAATCAACCACCGCCCTGTCAATTGTAATATTTGTCGTCACGTCTAGAGAGTTTACATAAGATTTGATAGTAAAGTGTGCATATTACGTAAACACTAAATATCAACTTGGATTCTTATGAAAACAGGATGTATAAGCGCTATATTTTGATATTTTAGAAATGTGCCAAACGATGATTGCCTTCTGTAACTTATATCATAGCATCTAATAAGTTGTCAGTATTCCATAAATGTTTAGAGAAAATGTCACCCATTTATGGAAACAAGACTTAATCTATTTATAGTTTCTCTCTGCCATTTCTTATTGTTTTTGCTTTTAGATAATAAAAAAAGTGTATAGTTGGGTCTGGACGCTTACGATCGCCATTGTCACTTTGCTGCAACCTTAAGGCAACATTCAGTGGAATAAGCAGGCGCTGGCTTCTTTTAGTGCCGAAAGAGACGAGCAGAGCAGTAGGAAGCTTGAAACGGGAAAGGCCTTGGACTAATCGGTTTGACGTTCTCCTACAGTTCATATAGTGCATTACTACATACAAGCACATCGATACATAATTATTATAACGTCTTCGTCTTCTTTTTCTACATTACGTGCATCTTCATTGTAAAGAAAACAGACGAGATACGCGATACGACGGCGTTTCGCTTCATGGCTAGTAGAGACAAGCGAGATAGCAATGGCCTTCTAGTGTTAGAGCGTCAGCCAGTACGTAATGGTCCTTTAGGTTCTGTACCGAATGGCCGCAGACCTAAGCCACGACGACCTCATATGCCACCTCCACCACCGCCAGTGCCATCGCAATACGATCCGAATGAGATGCAGTACAATATGACTGATACGGATCGTCAAATGTCTGGTAGTGAAATGCCCTATTTTGTCCGTACAGATAGTGCTCCAAATGCTCATGGCTTACCAAATAGTCTGCATGATGCAAGGTTTGTTGTGTTGCTAGTTGTTTATGATGCTGCTGAGGCTAGTTGTTATGTTGTAAGATGTTATACTTACACTTATATTATGTGTGTGTGTCTCTCTCTTTCTCTTTCTCTCTCTTTGTGTGTTTTGTGTGTTTGTGTTGTATAGCAAAACAAATAGTTATTCGTCGATGAAAACGCCAATTGAGACGTCAAAATCCATGTCTAGATCCAAACTTATGCGTTCTTTAGATGAGAGCTCCGAAGACAGCATTGATAATGGCAGCTACGTGACAGACAAGATACAGGGTGGTCTGAATGAAGGCATTGGTTGGTTTCATGCTAAGATTAAAGTCGAGAACTCGATTCATTGGGCCAACAATTACAAGATCCAGTGCTGCATGTTTTTTATTTTTATCTGCGGTGCAGCACTGACTGTCGCTTTTGCGGACAATGACGCCGATGCTTCGGTTGGTCTTGTTGCTGGGAGTGTCATCACGCTCTTTTGTTGTTCCGCGGTGGTATATACGTTCCTGACACGTCCGACGTGGCGAAAACACCCCAATCCTATCATTTTCTTCCGCAGTATATGCGATATCTGTCTAGTGGCAGTACTACTCATTACGGAGCTGTACAAGTGCGGTAGGGGTGATTGCTTAAACTCGCTTACAGGTGCTTCCTGTACGGCAACTGCTGCGCTTACACAGTTTTTTCTCTGGACGTCGGAGAGTTGGTTCTTTGTCATGGCCATTGACATGTTGTCGTCGCTGCAAAGTCCGTTTACAGATTACAAGGGCAACGTTCGCCGGTATCATGGCTTTGTATGGGCGACAGGTAAGCAATGTTTGTGGTATCGAAATGCAAAATTTGAAATTAACTTGACTTGCCCTATGCGCAGGTCTCATTACGTGTATCTTGCTTGTGTCGATTCCCGATTTCGCTGGCGCGTCGGAGTTTGGATACTGCTGGACAGCTAGCAAAAGCAAACTGCGGGGTGAAGATGGTAGCGATAGCTCTGGCCCAAGCGAAACGGGCAACCTTTGGAACCTCAACTTTCAGTACGTTATTTGTTACCGATTTGTCCTCTTTGCAATACGAAGATTTTCTAAGCGCAATGTGATCATTTTTACACTAGGTCGTGGCTGCTTTTCTACATCTGGCTCATTTTGTACTGGGTCTATGCCATCACGTACGTTTCACTATCGACGCGTTTATAGTGTGTAATGGAATGGCATACTTACTGGCTTTTGTCGTCGTTGCGTTTTGCTTGCAGTGTTATCTATTGGGCGTATCGACGCCTCAACTCTGGTCTATCGGAGACATTGCGTATGCGCCTTCGAGTGCTGCATTCGGTTACGATGTAAGCATATTTACTTATTGTATATCTTTTGTCAAGGAAGTGTTCCACTGACATTTTTTTCTTCCTGTCCATTTGGGTGTAGTTATGTGATCGCCATTATTATCTACTGGGGGCTTTCTTTTTGTATTTACGTGCCGTTCTTGGTTCAAGGCGACGACCGATCGAGTTGGGTGGCGCAGATGATGAATTTTATGATTACGTGCAAGGGTTACTTTGACTTTGTTGTCTGGTTTCAGATGAACGATTTCCACGACGCTTTAAAAAAGGCAAAGGAAAGAAAGCTGATGTTGATGTTGATGTGGATCTGAGCCCTCAGGTGAATCTTGCTTTGCGTTGTGAAGTGTTGTACTACACAACGACAGGCATCATTCAGGCTGTACGCGACACACAGCACTTGCCACCTGGAGCTAACCAGCAGGAATTGTATTTGCAGCCACAGGGTACAGAGGACAACCGCGGATCGCTTGGTGTAGATGAGTACATGATTCGTACACGGCCGAAAGCTGCATTGGGGAAGGGTACGTTATTTATTGACTATTGCCCCCACACTTTCCAGACGATTCGCGAACATTTTGGGATTGATACGAACCAGTATATTGAGAGTCTGAGTCGGACAACGAAGGAACGACTAAGTGAAGGTGCAAGTGGAGCTTTTATGTTTTTTTCTCATGATCAGCAGTTGATTGTGAAGAGTATGAGCGACGAGGAATCGGTTTTCTTGCGCTCGGTTGCTGCAGAATATGCTTCGTTTTTGCTTACGAACCCAGACAGTCTCTTGACGCGATTTTACGGGTGCCACGCGATTCGATTGTATGGCAACACGTTTAATTTCGTCGTTATGGCCAATTTGTTTAGCACGGAAAAGGTGATTCATCGTCGTTACGATATTAAGGGTTCATGGGTCAACCGCAGTGCTAAGCACCCGTCCAAGGGAAAGCGTGTCACGTGTCGTCACTGCAACGCGAAATATGTTTTTGGTTCGACGGATGCAGAGAACTGTCGTGCGCGAGTCGGCCGCCACGAGCCGAATGTGATTTTGAAAGACAATGATTTGACAGCAAAGGTTCGCTTGGATCCGAAGGTTGCCGAGGAACTGTACGATCAATTGGTAAAGGATGCAAATTTCCTGTCACGCTTAGGTATTATGGACTACTCGCTTCTGTTAGGAATCCACAATGTGGAGTACATGGTGAATCCGGATCTAGAGGAAGAGCCTATGATTCCGCCAAAAGATGCTGTCGGACCGAGACGTCGTACCACGAACAACTCGTTCATGCTGGGATCAAATGCACCCATTAGGGATTCAAAGCCTGGTCTTCCACGAGTTGCAACGGGAACACGTCGGGCAAATACTGTGGTTGGTCCATCCATTTACTACTTCGGGCTCATTGACATCTTGCAGACGTGGAACATGGACAAGAAGTTGGAGCGTTTTGCGAAGACGAGGTTGCTTGCGAAGGACCCGGATGGTCTATCAGCTATTCCTGCTGCTGCGTATTGTGAGCGTTTTAAGCGCAAGATGGGTGAGATTTTGTCTGTAACAACTCGAGATGAGTACACGGAATTTTACGTGGGCGAGCGGAGAAGGAGCAATAGTGGCATTGTGGATGCAGACTCCAACCGGCGTTTTTTTTAAACCGTGAGGCCTTGGTGGGAAATGAAGGCAATGGTGATGCCCCCCACCGAGGGCCCGCCCTCACGGATCGAAGAAAACTTCACCCTCTCCTAGGCGGGTTTTTATGTTGACATGATGCTACTGCAAGTCAGCGGGTGTACTTTAGATGGAAAAAAACACAAGCAGTTTAGCGTCAGTCCCAAGCAAACAAGTGACTACCAACCAGATAATCAACTAACCGATGAATGAATCGAGCCATGCAGTTTTGATAGATTCTCTGTCCTATATCTCTTGTCTGCATGTAGTCTTTACCGTCGCTCTATTGTTTCAACACACGACACTTTCCATGTTCGCCATTAGTTTTCGATTGGCGGGACGACAGGTCAAATATCTTGATTTTACTATGGGACCGTAGATGGAACCTCCCTTAACGAAACACCATCGATTCGAAGCCAAATTTCGACAAGTTTTTCCTCCACTTATCATGGCAACACGCCATGATAGTCACAACCGTTGCCCAGTACGCAGCGCATTGCTCAAATGGCAATTGAAGCAGGACGAACAACGAGTGGCGGAAGTGCAACATCGTCTCATGCGCATGACAGCGCCGTCTCCTGCGTCGTCTCTACGGATGAACAGCGGCAAATTGGATCGTCGCGTAGCTGCTCGGAGGCCACGACCAGTGTATGATACCGATCAAGAGAAAGGTGGTCTTAGGACGTTCATGTTGATGCAAGACGAGCAAGAGAGAAATGCTGTTAAGCGTTCAATTGATTTAGCGAAGGCATCAAACTTTCAGCATCCGTTGTCACCATCAAAACGGTTGATGCTACCATCTAACAATTCAGTCAAGAGTGATTTGTTCTGTGCTACGCCACAGAAACTTAATGCTGGGGAAGATTGTGACTTGCTCTTGAGATTACAAGGGTTGCAGCATACGGGCTCCGACATTCACCAGACTTTGACGTTTTCAACAACTGAAGCTGCTACACCCAAGTACATTGTAGGGAAAAGTGCAGCTCCTACACCCCGCGATATGTTCCAATATGATGAGATAAAGACCCTGGATAGGCGGAGGATGGCGACGATGGGATTGAGTCAGGAAGAGGTTCATGAGATGGCATCGGCTCAGTGGCAGGAGAAACGCGCTCTGCAAGCTGACAAGTTGGTGGTGGAAGCAGCAAGAGATCGAGATGATGAAGCGTTGTGGAATGATGTATATTACAGGACCAATGCTGTGGAGAGAAACGACCTGTCGGAGCAACCAGATGTGTACTCAACAAATGGCTTTCTGGAAAGGTTGTCATGTAGTAGATCGAATTTGCGTAAGAATTCAAGTTATGAAAATGGCGACACAGGTCAGCCTACGTTTCCTACGAACTTGTGTATGGGTGACAACGGAATGATTTCAAGTGAGATATCTACAATGTCGATAAGCGACCAAACAAAACAATTCACAAGGCAGAGTAGCGATATTAAATCATCTGCCATTGACGCAAATGAATTTTCGACCCCCGCATCAGGGCAAAGTATTGCGGAGTTGTTAGCATCGATGGACGGACCAAATGAAGATGAAGATGCAAGAAATTGTAAAGCTGGTGACGATGAGCTTTCTGATTTATCCAGTGACCGAAAACAGTATTTACGCGGTGATTTCTCTGCTGACGGTGCTCGTTATTCACGAGCCAAAGCATTCTTTAGTACGCAGTTTCCACAGTGTAGTTTGATTGTAGTTGTTTGCTGTTTAGTGATTGGGACAAGCGGATTTTTCATAGAAGAGTTGATAGCAGCAATTGGATTATTCTCGAAACGAACGCAGGTCTTGGTATCGAAAGTCGAGCAAGAACGAATGCGTGACCGCGTCAGTATACTCGAGCATGAGGTCCGTGGTTTCCAGCTCTTAACTTCCATGATCGAAGTGAGATCCCAGGCAGTTCTAACTGAGCTTCGTCAGTACGTAGATAGGATGCGGTTGAATCGCTTGAAACATCAGAACATGCTTGCAAAAGAAATGCAAGACCTGCGTCGTCACATTCTGAACGTAACACATGAACTGGTAAAGCAAGAACAAGAGTCACTTCGAACACAAGTGGAAGATATTGTAAGAGTACAAGGGAACAACGTCGAAAGTGCAGGTGATAACAATGTAATTGCCGGAGCCGGCGACACCGAGAACGATAAAAACCTGGAAAACATTGTACCTGAGGTACCAAGCCAATCCGAATCATACCAAGCCATCCATGAATCATTACATGACACGATAGTTAGTTCACCTGCCAGCACATATCAAGACCACGGTGAGCAATTTCGTGTGAAGCAATTCAAAGCCAACCAGCAGCTTGCAACAAAAGATAACGCGGCTATGTCTGTTGTACAACATCCACATGGCGTTGACAGCGAGCAAGTGCACATTCAATTTGCTGAAGATGAACATGTGCCTGTCAAAGCTCTATCTCAATCGATGACCGGAGAGATCGCTACTGATCAAGAAAGTAAAGTCAAGCCAGAGTCACCACATTTGGTCCACGAACTAAATGTCGAGCACCAAGTATCAGTTCAGTCAGCTTCATTACTAGCACGTGAACCGAGCACAAACAAAATCGACGCTGCTGTCGCGTCTGCATCCACGGTGACTATCGACGTTATACCTTCTCACAATGCGTCTGGGATGTCCTGGGACATAATGCTTTTGTTAGTGGGCATCGCGTTTCTCGTAGCTTGCATTGTGCTTCGACTTTACAGCACCAACCGTCGCAAGCGATGGTTTGAGAAACGTCGTAAGAGGAGAAACCAACGAGCTCTCCGTCTAGCTCAACAACGAGCAAGAGCGATGGCAAAATATCAGGAAGATAGTGATGAGTGGCATTGCCATGAGATGGACGATGATATTGAGGAGGTATCTCTCATGACACCCATTCAAGACAATGAGGATGACGAATCAACAACATAAACTACGGCACAAGTCATCACGACTTGTACACCGTTGTCAACAGGCACACCATAGACAAACCTCGTCCACTCGATTTGCACAAACTGTTTTGTTTGTGTGTAAAAACCCATTGTAGTCGCATCAATCGTTTTGCTTCGTTTTCATCATTCGTTACAAATTGCCTGCATGAAGAAGCTCATACTCAAGCTCAAGAGTTATGACACATTTGCAAGCAGGCGACATCTTCACGAGATACCAGTATTCGATACTTTGGAGGGATGACATTGAATTCCCATCACTCCTTTTAGATTCAGATACTATCATATGGTGCAAATCAATGATACTGGGCATTTTATCGGTAGCCAGTCAGAAAGAGTCGGTACAAAACCAGGTCTTAAAAATCAAGCCAGTGGTTGAGATTGTTTTTCTTCCCCCTGTAAACAGATTTATATCATTTTCAACAGGTTTCTCCTTTGTCCCTCCTCCCTTTGCCTCGTTTCTCACAGGCTTAAGACCGACCAATCGACCGAAGCGCCCGTAAGTGTATGCCCAATGAGAGCGAAGCGTTCTTTTCCGCCTATGATAGATAAGCTCTGTTATCCTCACTATGATGTTCTTCCTATGTGTGTCTTGTGTCCATGATGATGATGATGATGATGATGATGATCATCATCATGTAGAAGTAATCTAGTAAACAAACAGAGATCAAAAGAGCTGACAATGTCGAATGACGGAGATAATAACACCACTAATGCTAACCTTCAGATGCAATTGCAGCTCCAGAATCAGCGTGCACAGATGCAACAGCAGCAGCTTACACTCCATGCTTTCTGGCAGCATCAGATTCAAGACATTTCACAGATTGATCCGAATGCTTTTGACTTTAAAACGCATCAATTGCCACTTGCACGCATTAAAAAGATTATGAAGACAGATGAAGACGTTCGTATGATTAGTGCTGAAGCACCTGTGCTCTTTGCAAAAGCCTGTGAGATGTTTATTCTAGAGCTCAGTCTCCGTGCTTGGATCCATACGGAAGAGAATAAACGACGTACACTACAGCGCAATGATATTGCCATGGCTATTACGAAGACCGACGTCTTTGACTTTCTTATTGACATTGTCCCGCGCGATGATATTAAGCCAGCGAAGAAGGTGAGAGCTGCATGGATTTGATTGCGACAAGATGAGATAGAGAGTGTGTTTTGAACCGATGCTGAGAGTTGTGTGGTGGTATGTTAGGGCCCTGTGGATCCTCAGACTGTGTACCAACAACAGCTTCAACAGCAACAAGCAGCAATGCTACAACAACTTTTGCAGACGCAACAGAACGGCACAACGGCCGGTGGCATCCAATGGCCAAACCAACAGTTGCAGCAGCAAATGCTCCAGCAGTACCAGCGTATGCAGCAAAACGCAGCTGGGGGTGCGGGTGGTCTCAACACGTCTTTGAATGGAGCGTTGCCAAACTTGTCGCCTTCGGGAAGCGACGTTGCTAGCCAAGCTTCGGTGAATACGACTCCAGGTACGTCGACGCAGCCGTCGACATCTGATCAGCTTGCATTGAACCAGCGCAGCGTCGATGTATGAATGCTGCAGCTTGCGTGATATAGCGCCAGGAAGCTAGCATGTTTTTAGTGGAATGAACGGATTTTACTTGGTCGTGTGTTGATTCTTGACGTAATACAAAGATGTACTTGTTGTCATTTTCAATGGATTCTATGTCTATCTTCAGTTTAAACTAACGCTAGTTGCGTCTATCAGCGTCATTTGTTGCGTACCCTGCTATTGTCTTTCGCTACTTGTTCCAATAGACGATATAGATTACAGTTCATGGCAAAGTATATGTAAAGCGACGAACACAAACAAGTGACGCTCACTCGGATGTTTTGACCGTAAGCGGCAACGGCAGCATTTTAGCTTCTTTCTCCGTTATCTTGAGGATCTGATAGCCAGCCACTCCACCAATCTAGCGTGACCAAACAAAACGTTAGTTCAGCACTCTCCACGTCTGAGGGTAATGAAGAAAGCTATACGAACCGCAAGTGCCGTGCCAAAAATCGACTGGAAGGTAACCGGGTTGCCAAAGTAAAGCACAGCGCTAAGTATAACAACCACACGCTTCATTGTACCCATGATGGAAAAGGTGAGCTCAGATACCTCGCCAAGCACCCATGATGCGCAGAAACTGCCGACAAAGTGCATCATGCTACACATCAACACCTTACTGAACGGAAAACTTGCAACAAAGTTGTCTTGGTGAGCCCGTGTCGACATGAGTACGAATGGTGCGTTGATAGCAAAAGACATGAACGCACTATAAAAGTGAAGCTGTAACAAAGTCATACAAGTAGATACCGCCACGGCTAGTAAGTAGTCCACACGTCATCCCCAATCCCAACAAATGCACTCACATTTACAGTATCAACAACAACCTGACGACGCAATAGGAACTTTGCATACATGCTCTGCATGACACCCAGTAGTGAAGATGTTACAGCAAACATAGCACCTGAGAAAGCAAGATCCTGATTGATACAAACGCTGCCGTTAGTTGCCATGTATCTTCTACAAACTGCTGCGAACAATACTTACATTCATGCCCATTTCAGAGACCGAGGCCATGACAACACCAAAGACGATCGGGATAAGAGTCAAGTACGTAGCAAAGGAAAACCGTGAGCGGTAGGCCATGTAGGCCAGAACTACATTGAATAAGGGCTGCGACGCTTTGCACGTTTGTGCTATCGACACTGGCACGGCATTATAGCTCCAGTACGTCATTGTCTTGGCCAATATGGAGAAGAGACTAAGTGGTACAATCCACATGATTCTACGTATGCAAGGTCTCTGCATGCGCCATGTTCCAGTAATTGTAGAAGATCTTGGGAATGTCAATACGACAACTAAATACGACAACAGACAAACGCACATACACACCACACCATTAAAAATACAATGTATCGAATTCTTCAAGCATACACATGCTCAGCACTAAATCAGTTTCCATTTGTTGTTGTTTTCACTACGTACAGTCAAGGATAATACTTATGAAATGATGACACATCGTAAGCATTTCAGCCGATACATGATACTCCTTGATCAATACTTTATTAATGAATGTAGACCATGTAGAAAAGAGGTACCATACACATAAACAGCAGCCAACCTACACGTGTAGAGCACAATATAAAAACGTTAGTAAAAAATAGATAAGAAAAAACCTCGTGATCAAACGTGAGTGAATAAAGGACAAGGTTATTATCTACCTGCAACGACTTCTGATCCTGTAGCTGAATGATTGAATGTCCGTTAGTTAGTTTACACTTTGTCACAGGCACATTCATACTTCCTGCTAGATCATAGATCGAATACGGGTCTATCATGTGGCTCGGTTTGTCGACGTTTCGTGAATAGAGCATCTGGGATGGCTGTTCGATGGTATTTGACTTGTGCGCACTTAGTTGAATATGTACAAAGCAAGGCGAATAATAATGAAATGATACTGTAGAAATTAATATTTTATAACGGTTAAGTACGGAATCAAGAAGCGTCTGTTCGTGTGATACCGAGCTACAATGTTGTAGTGTTGTTTGCTCTTGAGGCTGTTGCTGCTCGTATAGAGTTTGTATGTAAGAAGTCATTGGTGCTTGGCATTTGTTTCGATTGTAATCATAAGGACTAGATCTGTTACACTGATAGTGAGATCTATAGATGTAATGGGTCAGATCAAACAAACAGTATCGAGTCATAGTCCTATAGCAATCATAGTATCTACGAGATGAGAATTTCTCTCATGAACTGCATCGTCAAGCATGATAAAGGTATGCATGGGGATGCAGTTGTAATCAAACATACTCGTTTTGTCCTTCATAAGCGTCAGGAGAAAGAGGTTCCTGGCATTGACCATTATTTCCAGTCCATATCCGATATTCCTCGGCTTCATGGACTAGACGCATTGCTCAAAAAGTAATCTAACAAGTAAGAGTGATTGCTGAAGTCCTATCAAGATGTTTGCATTCAAATGCGTGCTAAGATAGAAGGGTCAAGAGCCGTTATTATTCAAGGACATGTAGCTCATTCTTGCATAGATAGATCCGCTTAGCCTGTAATTCATGAATCAATAGATCAACCACCGCTTTGAACCGTTTCCTAGCAAAATGAGAAGAACGAATGACAAACAGATGAAACGAAGCTCGAACAGACGCGTGACTCGTCCCGGATAAAAATGGCAAGCGCTTGATCTGACTGACGTTGCACTGTTTAGGCGTTTTGTGACAGAGGACGAACATGCAACCAATCCAGCTACCAACGACATGACGGAGCGTGGAATGCATATATCTGTAGATTGTTTATAGAGGCGTCCCAACCATGTCTACGTTCCAGTCCCGGTTGGATTTCTGCGCGAGAACGGTGGAGTCAAGGTGTACTTACAATCAGGAAAAGAAGCTTATTTCAACATGAAAGCGATTCCATCTACAAACACCAGAAATCTCCACACAGCGTAATGGAAAGCTGTGACGTTAGCACGGTCAAGTGCCTTTTAGCAAGAGCAAAACGGTTTTGCAACGTGGTTGCACGTAAAAAAAACAGCTGAATGAAAAACTTACGTCTTCTTGACTTGAGGTCTTGAAAGCTGTAACAAACACGACTTGCTATTTTTGGGTTGTTCGATCCAACGCTTCATTATCGTGCTCGAAACGAAACGGAACGGTGTAACTCGTTGCGCGGGTAACAGCTGAAGAGCAGAACACCCAACGCATTTCCAGTTTAGCTTCATCAGTTCCACCTCGTTACATCTCACAAGTCCCTAATTACGATGACTCAATGCCGGCACTGCGAAATTGATGCAACTTCTCGCTTCCGCAAAGGGCGGCTTTACGTATGCTGCAAAAGCGATGGTCTATCAACTGACCGCGTTCGACAATTGCACGAGTACGTTGCTAGAATGCTTCACACTTCTTTCAACTGACTTCACTAATCAATCACTAACGTCTTACAATGTGTAAACAGTCTGCTACCCAGTCCAACGGACATGATGCTGTCTCCAGTAAGTCGTGCACTCCGAGCGCGATCATTCCAGGGCACACGTCCTAATCGGATGTCTGCTGTTGATGAAGCACTCTCTGTTCGATCCATTTCCCGCTGCCAGTAATGTGTCATCACTTGAATGACCATCATCCATCATGCATAGCTTAATCGTGACGTTGACTTAAACACTACAGTCATAGAGCTTGGATTGTGCTTAAAACCGTCTTAAAACGTGCGTGATCTCGATTGCAGTACTCGTTCGTGTTGTTGACAGCATTGAGCTAGACATCTATAAATGTAGCCATTCATCTTCACGCCAATCACAATCATTACTAGTAAACGTGTGGAACAATGAGCTCGACACTTGATGTAAAGTTAAATCGTATTGATCGCATCTTCCATCCTCATGTACGTCTATGCACTGATTCTCTTCTTTTCACGATATCGTGTATACGAACTACTCGTCTCATCGATTCATAGGATATCATTCAAGGTCAAGTGATCATTTCATCACCAAAGGGATTTTCCCATCAAGGTCTTGCTATGAAGGTCGAAGGCACTGCTCGGCTTCATCTTCCTACAAAAACCACTGGAATGTTTGATTCGTTACACAATAATGTGGCACTTATGGAACTCGTCTACTTTCATTTGCCCGTGGCTCCAGCGGGCAAAGTCTTTCCTGGAATTTCCAAATTCCCGTTCGAGTTTGAACTACAAGGCAATGACGGTCAGGAACTACTAGAGACGTATCACGGCGTACATGTATCTGTAAAGTATGAGATAATGTGTGACTGCATTCGTGGAATCATGAAAAACAAATTGCACAAGACCCTTGAGTTTGTCGTGGAAGTTCCGGTAGGTTTGTGCCACAGCAGATGAGTTGGATTTCAGTTTGGTGCAATTGACTCGACGTAACTTTTGTCTCACTATTAGCTAAGAGAGCCACTACCAGACTCGCCGGCAGAATTCCAGATCACTCCAGCGTCGGTGGAGAATGTGCGCCCGGTAAGATCAATACAAGTGCAAGTCGATATCGTATGTAGGCGACTAATTTTCTGTTGTTACTGGATACAGCAAAACCTATCAGCAATGCCATTGTTTCATATTCTGGGCAAGATTCACCGTACAAACTGTCCAGTTAACTTGCCGTTTACAGGCGAGGTAGAGCTGTTTCTTACTTGAAAGATTGTGGGACCTTGTCAATGCTTATGATAAGGCTCATTCATTGTGTTTTGTTGTTTTCTTTGCTTTCGATAGATAATTATCGAGGAAGCAAACAGTCCGATCAAGTCAATTGAACTTCAGTTGATTCGAGTTGAGAGTGTTGCGCACGCTGACGGAGTCGCGAGAGATGGTTTGTACGGATACAACTCACACATATCTTCACCACAACTGATGACAGTTATTTGTACTATGCATGCGAACAGCAACAGAAATCCAAAACGTTCAAATTGGATGGGGAGACGTGTGCCGTCAAATGGCGATCCCGATCTATATGATCTTCCCTCGCTTATTCACGTGTCCGACAATGCTGGCTCCAGGTAAGAGTGAATCATAAGAATTCTTGAGTTACCTGATGCAAAGTTTTCTAATGGTTGTAACTGCTGTGTTATTACAAGCTTTCAAGGTTGAATTCGAGACCAATGTGGTTGTTCTCTTTGAAAATGGCCACATGATTACAGAAAACTTCCCAATCATATTGTATCGGTAGGCAACACGGTGGCTGCAAACGCAACACAAACTGATGCTAGCATCAGCAATGCTCACTTATCACGCTTGAAGATTTTCTTAACCAAAAATGTGAAGACCTCTGACGGCATTACCACCATTTGCTCTATCTGCTCAGCAATCGTTTTGTACATCTCGTCCTCGTATTGGTGGTAAACTGCAGCGAGATCAAGCTCGTTGTACAGCTTCTTGACAGCCGCAATGGCGTCAGGGTTGTTGCGGCCATAGTTTTCTTTCAAGGTCTTCCTTTGCTCCAACGTTGCACGCTCAAGAGCCTGGACAACCAGCCAGCTGCATTTGTTATCCTGGATATCTGTGCCTACCTTGCCAATCACTTTTTCATCACCATAGCAGTCTAGGAAATCGTCCTGGATCTGGAAGTACTCGCCAATCTGTGCGCAAATGTTCTTGGCTACTTCGTGCAATCTTTCATCAACTACTCCGTTCAGGAACATAGCACACGCAACAGAGAGGTAGAATGTGTAGTATGCCGTCTTGTTCACCGCAATCTGGCGGTAACTGCTCCCACGTAGACGCAGTCCAGCATCAGTTACTCCGAAAGCTTAAAGTACCTGCACTTTGGAAAACGTACCGCTCAAGAGTAAAACGATCAAGGTCCACTTCACCGTCTAAAGGCTGGGACGTCAAATCTAGAAGCTGTCCGATCTCCGTATGGAAGACAACCTAAGAATGGAGGCAACAACAATAATCTCATTACTACGTTCGTATGTCGAAACAATCATAGGATCTAGGATTCACGTACATCGTGAAAGGTATCAACCAAGTTTAAATAAAACGGCTCAGAGCCAAAGTGCTTCTTGAGGATCTGAAAGACAAATGCCTCGAGCAAGAATGCATCATTGATTGCAATCATCTTTACATGTGGCTTACGAAACCAACACGGTTTTCCACGGCGCGTGATGGATTCATCCATGATATCGTCGGCCACAAGGAAGAACGCTTGAAGCTAACCAGGCAATAGTCACCTCCTTGTTAGTACTCTCACTATCAAGAAAACTCCGAGACATTAAGATATACCGATTTTAACTCACCCACTCAATGCACCATCCCAATACACTTGCCTTCTCTTTAAGCTCTAGTGTAAGGATTTTGTCTGGTGCCATCTCCTTTGTGCTACGTCCAAGCAACGGAACCAAGCGTCATTAATATACATCGTTGTCTTACAAGGAATGTCATAGTCGTAATTGAATATTTAACTTGCCAGTGAATGACACTTAGACCACGATTCAGTTTGCCACCAATGCAATTGTACTCTACCATTTCGTCTACCCATTCCAGAGCTTCTTGAGGAAGTTGATACTTGGTACGAAGAAGCTCTAATAGCTCTAACTTGAGCGTTCTACATATAGCAATAAACTCTATTGATACGCAACATTCACGAAAAGGGTCAAGAGGTGATATTGATTGCATTATAAGAGCTTGTTCATACGAAATTATCTCAAGTCATTTATTTATGTTACCAATACATTCCTGACCCATTGGTTTGATAGGCAGTTGCGAAAGGAGCCGAATCAATGTATTTTTTTTATTGAGAATTGTATGACAACTCGGTTTAAGTACGACCGACCATTTTCATGATTGGTGTTAAAGTATTGAAAACTGTTTCGAATTGTACTGGTCAATGCGCATTATCACATGATATACAAAAGCTTTTACAATGTACATTCTTGCACAAAAGTAGTAATGCACATTGTACGCAAAGGGTGAGGGCACAACTAGCGACAGCACGAGAAACCAAAAAAATCAAGATCAGATGAATCACATTCTGAATCAGTATCTGACGATTCTTGTACGTGTCGAAAGATTAGCTGACCACACAAATGTCTTGATGTGGTCTCAGTCACATCTGCACACCTTGACAAAAGCCCAATGCGCACGTGAGTTAGATGCACGACAAAAACTATAAGCTCGTCCAAGTACTGTACAAGCACGTTCCAGCGACCACTTGGCGCAGCCTAAGGCTGCGTGGAATCAGTCACAACAACAACATGCTTGCAATGCTGCTTTCTTCTCATGGAGGCAGAATGCAACGGTGAACTTGCATGGAAAACACTCGAGCAGTCCTCACAGCAGGAAATCTCTTCCTCAATGTCACAGTAACAACACATGTCGTCTATTTTTCACTCCTCATGCATTTACTTGGTCATTGAGTCTGATACTGACTCATCCTCTGTGGGTGGATCCACAATGCTCACACGCAGCAGCCGACCGTCCAGTTCCTGACCGTTCATCTCCGTAACAGCCTCCAGTGCTTCATCAAACGTCGAGTACACTAGGGACGCCCATAAGTGCATGGTCGAGTGCTTAGGAGCTAAGATCTGGGCATCCTCAAGTGTTCCATATTGTGAAAATACCTCTCGCAATTGAATCTCATCCGTTTTCCAGTGTAAACCTAAAGTCGATAGGAGCCACGTGTTAGTTCCGCTTGCAATTACAATCGAGTGCGTTTACTGCATCAAAATGATACTCTACCAATTACTGAGACATGTGTCGACATCATGCAACATCTAGAAAGAGTCAATGAAGGTGTCCAGCTGCTCTGACGCCGTATTCGTAACGCAAAGATTCCACACGTTTTCATGCTGAGTCTGTGTCTATTTTTGATCATTAGGTCAAATGTTCTTATAAAGCGACTTTTATGTGTGCTACTAAAACCCTATACAAGAACATCCTACCTCAGATCAAACAATAACGTGAGTACGTGCACCTTCACGAAGCTCTTTGTCGCTTTCTATCTGAGCTCTGTAGATCTCCCAGTGCTGTCGATCGTATCGTAAATCATCTACTCATTATTCTCCATCTCTGTGTATCTTTATCTTGATTGAAAAGACGCTAATTATTTTGCAATATGGCTCAAGTTACAAGCGATACAAGTGATAAAACCATGACACAAATGATAGCGACTCCGACACCTCCAGGAAGTAATGAAGACAATACACGATCACGTAATCGTTCGTCCATGACTCGTCGAAGTGTTTTGCCTGTCTTAAAGTTTTGGAAAGCTTTTGATCTGGATAGTAAGCGTGTGTTGCTTGATTCTCAAGGTAGCACCATGAAGAGCGATAAAGAGGCCAGTGTACGCTCACGTAAGAAACTGGCAGAGACAACGAAGCAGTTCAGACGATTGAATTCTGATGCGGATAGGGCAGCGGGCGCTGGACCGTTACTTAAAGCTTATCAGGAGGAGATTGATCATCTTACGCGTCGTGCCAAATTTTCGGAGAATGCTTTCTTTCAATTGTACAAGGGACTTTATACTGCCCCGGACCCTGCTCCAGCTTTAGCACTTGCTTCTTCAGATTGTGAAATGGATGATGTGATGGAAGAAAATAAGACGCTACAGCGAGAATTGAAGGAATACGAAGCGGAGTTTGCTACGCTAAAGAATCAAGAAATTACTATTCGAAAGCTAGAAGAGCAAGTTGCTGCTGCTGCTAGAGGACAAGAGGAGATCATACATCGACAGGTGGAACAACGAACGAGGGAAGTGGATATTCAGTTGGAAAATGCACGATTGGAATGGGCGCAGCAGCGACGTGACTACGAGCGTCAACTGGAAGCTTCACGCGCCGAGTTGCGTGAAGCATTTGCACGACTGGATGCGATGCAATCGGATTTGTTTGCGCACAAACAGCGCTCAGGGCTTGCACGTAAAGCATTAGACGCTGAGATGGAAGTCATTTCGCAGGAATCATTATTATTACAGACACTACAGTTGGAAAATGCTCAGCTTAAGAATCAGCTCGATGAGTTGCGTAGTTCGTCAACGACCTTGGAGACCCATGACAAACGCTCCATGGCACCTCCAAATGCAGACACAGAAGGAGGCGAGACCAGTCAGTTGGCAAAGGAGATGCAAGCGGAACAGAATACAGTTGTCGCTACGCTACGCCAGGAGGTAATCCGTCTTCAGGAGGCGAACGCGACATCCAGTGCAGCTGCAGCAGAAGAATTGACGAGACTGAATAGTGCTCTGGAGAATGCTGAGCAAGTTACAAAGGATCTAGAAGCTCAGCTGGAAGCGCGTCCGACACTCGAGAAATTCCACGAGGTGACTCGCAAATTGCGTGTTTTACAGCAACTGGAGTACAATGTTGTCGATGACGACGATGATAGTAGTAGACCGCCAAGTTTAAAATCTGCGGAGGACGACGGAGTTGCAGGTGGATTGGAAGCGGCTACTGTTGATGTGGAGAAGATTCTTGTGTTTCGCGTACGCCGCTTGGAGCACTCGCTCCAAGAATGCGAGCGGTCCCTACAAGCTCGGACATTGTTACTACAAGAGGCTCAGGGTGATCTTCATAACCGTGACGTTACAATTCGAGAGCAGGCAACGCTCATTCGTAATTTGGAGGAGAATGTAGCTGCGCTTGAGAAAGATCGACGAAATTGCGCGGCGGGTGTAACCAGCGGTGACATTGGCTCGGAAATTCTCCTGGATGCCATGGAAGATCAATTTACTGCAACCTCGACTTCTACTCGTGGTAATGGGGTAGCAGCAGCAAGAACGGACGCTGCGACTTGGAACTCCGCCGCATCGTCGGATAACAAGATGCTTGAGATCGTTCGTGGCCAGCGTGATCGTTTTCGCGAGCGAATGAAAGAGCTACAAAGCGAAAAGAATCGCGTGGAAGAGCTTGCGCAGTCGTATAAGAGCACGGTGGCACGTCTTGAAACCGACAACATGCAGTTGTATCACAAGATCCGCTATCTCCAGAGTTACAGTGGCGACAACAAGGCTGCAGGTGCTCGCATTAAGCCTAGTTATGCTGGTCTGGAGGATGGTATTGCTGGAATATCCGACGTGGAAGCTCGCTACCGTGGCATGTATGAGAAAAAGATGAATCCATTTGTGCAATTCAACAAGATGGAGACCCAGCAGCGTTTTACGAATTTGAATCCAGTGGACAAGATCTTGCTGACGAGTGCCAAGTTGTTATTGGCCCACCGCATTACTCGTAACATGGCGTTTGGATACATTTTGGTACTCCATTTCCTTGTTATTGCCACTCTGTATTCCTTCATGCATGTATGTGGCGTCACGAATGACTCGTAAAAATTACATAATAAAAAACCTTCAGTGTATGTAATTTATCTTAATTACCCGGTACTAAAAAAATAACTGATGTAAATCTGAGTGAATTAACACCTTATTCGTACTCCATTTTAGACCATACAAAAGCTAAAATGAAGTGGCAGACGATAGCAAAGGTAGTGCTATGGCTGCCTGTGGGTATCACGGTGAACGCACTGGGCGTGAGTCTTGCAAGTGTTAAAGGTCGTTCGATGCAGCCAACACTTAACGATGGATTGACACAGGATGCGGTGCGTGATCGTGTGCTGCTGGACAAATTCTCGGTGCAGATGCGCCATCGCTATAGGCGGGGCGACGTGGTTGTGCTGGAGTCTCCCATGGTGGCAGGCCAATACCTGATTAAACGGCTTCTAGGGTTAGAGGGAGATCTGATGACAGATCGCCGTGGACGACGTTGTATCGTGCCTCCTGGCAAGTGCTGGGTAGAGGGTGATAACTCGACGTTTAGTGATGACAGCGATTCGTATGGGCCCGTGCCGCTTGCACTCATTGATTCGCGCGTACTAGCAGTTGTGTGGCCACCTCGTGCGATGAAAATTGTACGTGGAAAGCTACCGGATCGAGTTAAAAATATATCGAGAAAGTATGGACAAGAGTAGATGGATAAGTTGACAAGCATGCATGGAGAGTTACAACATCACACACATTGTTTGATGAGCAATGGACGTTTACGTGTGTTGTTGATAACGTTGTGATACTTGTGTGAATGGTTTCTATGGCATATCGTTGCCATGAGTGACGCAAAGTGTAATGCAAGTGTCAAGTCCCAATGCACAGGGTGCTACACTGTTGTTACTTTGTTCTGATGTCATTGCAGGCGCAAGATACTATGAAATAAAGCCCGACTTCATCATGCTAACTCTGGTGAATCTGCTACGCCAGACACGATTCTCGACACGTGATCAATGTTAGTCGTGCAATTGTTTGCAGCTAACACATGTACAAGATATCGAACGGAATGAAAAGTCGCAGCATTGCAAGCATTCGACGAATAGCTCTCTATCATACAAATGAACCTTGTGATAAACCCACATCGTTCTTGTGCTGTCAAAAGAGCACACGCAAATAGACTCAAAAACCAGCAAGTTTGGCAAGAAGAAATTCAACTCAATGGTGGTAATGAAAATACCTTTACCGGGCAATGACTTTCTTGTAAATACACATGGAACACACTATAATACAGGACGGACACCCAACGGAGGCGCCGATAGATAGAAGAGGACGGCTGGTTGACAATGGGGGGAGGAGACAACACTAGACTGCTACGTGCAGTCAGTCTCTAATGTTCTCAATTGCAGAAGAGGCGGAAATGGGCCGAGTCTGACTGGCTGATGAGTGCGTTCGTCTTGCAGTCAATAGAGCAAAAGCCGTCCGCCGGTGTGAATGCTTTCTGAAACGATTGTGTGCAATTGTGGCACTTGCTCGTCTCCGAGTGGATGGTGGTACCATAGTGCGACGCACGATTCTCGAGCGTTACTTCCTCGCTCAAGATGTAAAAAGCACTGCGACCAGTGCCGCTCCAGGGTTTCAGTGTTACGTAGCCATACTCCACCAAGCGCAGAAACAGCGCAGCACATCCCGTGCGGTTTGACATAATGCCAGCATCCATGAGCCAGCTCACAGCCTCTGACTGCACAAAGTACTGATACTGTACTTTAGAACGTTTATTGCGTGAGGTCTGTGCCAACACTTCCACCGCGCAGAAAACAAGCTCCTCTTCAACATCACCCGGTGGCTCACTATCTGACGATTCACTTGATGCAGCCGCTGACTCAAGGCCAAACAGCGAGTTCGTGGAACCAGACGAAGCTAGCGCCGATTCAGCCAGTGCGTGGCAATGAGTGCACACACGCACGCGGCCTTTGTAACCAAGCTCAGGTAGTCGCACAGAGAATGGTGAACAATCACCACAAACAAGTTCTCCACAGGCTCGGCAATGATGACGTCGACGCATCCAGATTGAAAAGTCATTGCCACAGCAAAGGCACGAATCACTCGCAGCATCAGGACGCCATTGCGGTGGACTGTTTGCCATGTCCTTCGTTTTCCGTCGAATACTCTTTGCACTCTCCCATGTTAAAGGCAAATTATATGCAGTCATAGAAACGATCAATCGATACACTCGTTCGTGAATGAAAACAAGATTGGAGACCTCAGTCTTATTCACGACTATGAAAAGCTCTCGAATGTGGTCGACGGACGCAATACAAGCGAAATCCAAAAGTGTGAACCGTACAGAGCCAGAAGGGTTTTTTTGTAGCGACAGAAGAGACACAAAAGGGAGTTGCTAAGCACATCACCATTAGAAACTCTGTAGTGGCATTTTTGATTTTTCCCTGGCTTGATACAAACTTAGCATGAAAGTACCTTTCAAATAGCCTTGGGTTACAACTTGTTCTACAACAACGTTAGCATGTCGTGCACGACATGTTAACGTTGTGACGGTAGTCTTACTCAGTTTTGAAGCTGTTTATATTTGCGTACGCTCTCAAGAGCGTTTGCGTACAGTAAATTAATACATAGTGATACATATATATCACATACATCATACGGTCATGATTGGATGCCGAGCTTTTTCTGAAGTGAAGGCTGCGGGTCATTTCGCAGGTATCATCAAGGATTTGGTGCTTTTGACACCGTCTTGATTGAACACTTTGACTCGTCTAAACCAACTACAAAACTAATTCACTCACTGACCTTTTATTCCAACAGTCAACTGGACATCTCTTCCACAACATACTCCACAAACTAGATTGTCTAGTGCTCATGATGTAGCTACGATGAACGATGTATGGTAGAATTATGTCCAGGGTTGCTTCCCTAGTCGATAATTCTGATAGCCAAAAGTGAGCCGGCTAGGAATTTAACGTAAACTGATTCTTTCTCGCAAGAGAATTTCGCGCCTGATTTTGCTACGTCGACTGACTTTTCCTCAGTGTCGCAACGTTATTGAAGTGATCCGGCTCCGATCCACGTTGCTGTCAAAAATGCCAACGCGCAGTTGCATTGAAAAATGTTTGTATCGTCCCAATCTTCAAACGTATGTATATCGTCTTGCGCTTGTTCAGAGCTTGTCATTCTTTCGTTCTACTGTCAAACTGATCAAGCAGCTTTAGCATGAACGCGTGCCAACTTGACTATGGAACTCACCGGAAAGCTGACGTCGTGCTAACGTGCAGTGCTGGCTTTCCACCGAGTTTTTTTGCATCAACTGGTATTTCTTGAAGCGTCTCCTGATGAAAAAAGTCTCTCACTCTCCTTGGAACCGACTCGACCTCTCTTTTGATGCTTTTCTTCCTGACCTCTGAACACCAGACACTCGAGTAACAACAATGCATCGTCACAGTCGAGTACTTGAATGGACATTAAACGACCTTTATCTTCAGCTCAGTTATTAGATATCTCTAGATTTTTCTCACGCCCTTCCCGCCAGCTGGATGAACAGAAATGGTTTAGATCAACGGATGGGACTTTTCGTTATCATACATGAAAAGAACCTGAGCTGGTCCGTGGTCTTTATTTTCCATTGATTCAAACATTGGCACTGCTGAACACTAGCAAGAACTTTAGTACATAAAGCCCATAAGGTGGCTTCTTTTCATACATTTTAAAGCCTGCACAAGAGTCAAGGAATAAGCTTTCGACTAGACTGGCAAAACAGTACCAGACCAAACTAGCAACCTCTGGTCAGTCCTATATAATTGCGACTGCTCATGGCAAGTCACTGGCAGCAATTGCATCTATGGTCTTTTGTCATGTACAATGATGATCAATCCTCACGCCTTTGAAAAAATGAACACTCGTGTTGAGAGAGGATCATGCGTTGGATATCTGGCACATAGGATGCAAGTCTCAATTAAGAGTAGAAACGCTGACTGTTGCAATGCCGTTCCGATTGTCGCAGACAAACAACAAATCAGTTGTCTTGCCTAATCCATTCGATGCTAGCTAGCATCTTTGGTAATAGATGGCCACCGACTTCCTTATAAGAAAGATGATCATCTCATGAGTTTACCGTCTCTGTTGTTGCGGTCAAACCCCTACATTTCATTGCGACGGGAGCAAAGAGTTAGCGGGTGTTCCTACAATTGGAGTGCTCTTCTCAAAACACCCAAGATGTTTGGTTGGGATCTGCTCTGCAATCTTACATCAGCTACTTACTGCTCAATATCTTTGAACGTCTTTGACACGCAACAGCGTTCGCGGGTCAAACTCAGGTGTCCATCCCTCCTTTTGTACCATAGCTACACATCTTTACCGCCACCCGAATCTCATGGATTGGCCACGTCAAATGGATTCAAAACTGTTGGATGTGGGGCCGTTTGTAAACTTGTGGCTCTGACCTGCCCATGGTCAGCTTCATTGGCACTTTGACTGACAGCACAACGTTTTTATCTAAGGAATCAACGAGCTAGTCAAACCCTTCGGTTTCTGATTCGAGTAATGCCTCATTTCGGACGCGTTGTGCTGACGTGATTCAAACGCAGCTCATCATGGACGAGAAACGTGTTTGCAATGATATCTGAGCCCGAGACTTCAGGCTGAATTGATCAATGCTACCTTGACGCAAGGTCTCAGCGTTTGTTGTGAATGCTTTGTGGTCTTTATCTGATACACAGAGCGAGCTGACTGCGATAAAGCTTATCTACTGCTGCACTGTAGCTCAAAATGGGTCTCAACCAACAAGATGATGAAGAAGTGCAGATACTCCCGTGGTACCCAAGCATGCTGCTGCTCTCGTCCAATTCTTCACATGATGTGATATTGTTGCTCTTGGCTTTCATGGCACTTACGACCAAGCACATGAACCGCTACTACTTGACGCAACCAGCTAGTCCTTGATGAAGAAAAACAGACGATATACAGATGAGCTTAGCAACATCCCCGTTCAACAAGACAGTAGTACCACATTGAACCCACAGTGGCAACATGTGTTGCAAACTGGCACAGGGTTGATGCCGACATGGTAATGAGCTTGTACAGTACGCCCCATGCTCAACAGCATGCCAAAAGATACAAGCAAAATACATTTGTTACACCTGCCGTCAATTCGTTGTCTTCTTTGCGTTTTTCATTTTTTTGCTTGGTGTGCAAGCGTTTACGTAGTCTCGCAAGCTGCCGCATCAGGCCACGTGCCGTCCTCTAAGACCGGCCAGTTGGTTGAGTTTCGCTCGTGAACTGGTACTAAAATTTCGCGTGTACTTACATCCACTTGCGAAAGTTCTATACACATCACACACATTATGAACACAAGAAAAAACGGGTCACCCAACCTTCTACCATTGACCGAGCACTTTGTCACGTATGTGTTTACCTTGCAAAGTGAAATTGAAAAGCGCAGGCGCGGCTACATCGTTTGGCAGCTTCAGATTTTTCTGTCGCAATTCATCAAAGAATGGGTGCGCGGCGGCCTCCAAAGGTTTCACACGTCTTCAATGTACACACAACCGTTTCATCAGTACCAGGTAGCTTCGTTCCCCCATTTTTATTACAAATAGCTTACTGCATCGGATCGTAGACCAGCATTTTCGACAACAAATCAATTGCCTCGGGAGGCGTTCTTGAGCGAAAGATTTTGCTCCAGGAATGAGCCTTAATTTGTGGAAATTGAAATTCCGTGTAATTCGGATTCATTGCTTCAATTTCCTTGCGCTGTGGAGTGCCAAGCACCTTGATAATTTCCACTAATTGATCTACACCACTTTCACCAGGAAATAACGGCTGGCCCAATAGTAGCTCTGCACACACGCAACCTAATGACCAAATGTCTGCAGAAATAATGGATACGAGAGAAAAAAACTATGCGTCAATAACGCCCCCCAAAACTCTACAAAACCAACATCCCATGCACGAAACCACCTACCAATAGCAGTAGTATAATCCGTCGCACCAAAAATAAGTTCAGGTGCACGATAATATCGCGAACAAATGTAGGACACATTAGGTTCATTCTTTTGCAATACCTTGGCACTGCCAAAATCGCAAAGTTTTACCACATGGGACGTCGGATCCAACAATAAGTTTTGTGGTTTAATATCTCGATGACAAATGCCTGTCGAATGGATATAAGCCAATGACCGGCAAATCTGATAGATGTATAGCTTTACTAGTACAATTGGCATGTACTGTTTTGCTTTTTGTAATTGTCTCGCAATACCGTACACTGTATCAGGAATGTACTCAAGTACCAAATTAAGATACAATTCATCCGGCTTTTCTCCATTACAATAGAAACAATGTTTAAGTTGCACAATGTTCACATGATGTAACTGTCGCATAATTTGTAATTCGCGATTCTAAAACAATAAGAAAACATCCATATAAATTACCAATACAAAACAACAACCATTAGTCGTGATGCCCAAAAGATCCAAACTAAAACACACATATATTTCATACAAAAAAAACAAGGATAAAATCCATTGTTTCTCCTCCTCCTCCATCGTCGTACCTTGAAACGTTTATCCTGCAATACTTTCTTAATTGCAACAATCTCTCCTGTTTCTTCCACGGTCGCTTGAAACACAACACCAAATGATCCATTGCCAATAATTCGTTCGGCAGAATAATGAATTGTTTTTCCCTACATAACAAGGAATACAAATATCCAGATAAAAATAGAAAAATCCAGATTAAATCGTAATTTTTCCAATCAAATTTTTCAAATCAAATCATAGTCACGATATACATCAGAGAATGTGTGAGTCGAGTCGCCAACTGTAATTCCAGTGCTTTCATTGCGCATGTCCTCCTTCTTTTTTGTTGCACATGTTGTTGTCTGGACAGTTGCAATCTCATCGTTTATATTTACTTGAAGATGTGTAGAATCCTTTGACGTCTTTTCGTCGCTTGTAGATACAGCGTCACTCATGAAGAAGATGAAGGAAGTGGGGAGGCAGCACGAGAGAGAGAGAGAGCGAGCAAGAGATCTCTCGGTCTCTATATTTGCCTGTTTTGAGTCGTTTTTTATTAAGAGAAGGTTTTAAATGATGTGATTGGATAATATAGTAAACCACTCGAGCTTACGAAGAAAACTTCAGCATGATGGTAATTTATTTTAGCTTATCTCAACGCATTTCTAAACCTTGTTCTATTTCTAAAGTTTTGCGGTATTGAATAGCGTCAGAATCAGAAGTAGAAAGTAACCTGTCGATAGAGTGAGTAAATGGAAGTGCATGAATGAAGACCTTCACGCATCAGTCTCTTAGGACCTTATAGGATCATTATCTATACCTGAGGAATAGCATCATCATCTTCCACTATGGACGTCTTCTACTTGTGGTGACTAGGAGCACATAATTTACCCGAAAGGTGTTTCTTCGGGTCCCGTTCGTCGTATTCAGCGAGAAAAAGCATGCGCAATGCATTGACAAGTGACTTCCCTTCGCTCTTCTTGGCCTCAATACTGTCATTTCCATGGTGATACGGTGGTGTTTGAAGACTTGTAGCAATGCTATTGATCACGGCATGACGTAGTTCCTGCAGTAAAAGTGATGACCGAAAGGACGTGTACAATACAATCCAGTCGTTCACACGTAGACCAATTGTTTCATGGCCATCCTTGTCCTTTCGTCGCAATTGTGGTAATAGCTCTAATTCATGGCTAAAGAGACACACGGCCAAGGGTAGCACAAGACTGGAGGCTGGAAGATACACCTGCGACGTGTGCAGCTTCACTGCATATGTGAGAAAGTTGCTTGCACCGAAGGTAGCCACATTGTAGTTGATTGAGCCGGGATGCACTATTACAATGGAATGGTCACGTTCGCGTAACACTGCACGTTTTGGACCATACGCCATGGGCGGCTCGACATGGACCAGATTTGGAGCTAGACCAGCATAGAGGATAGCGGATATTGTCGCCAATTGCTCGATGGTCATTCGCTTCTCTTCTGCGGAACCAGGTAATGGTAAGAAACCAAGTTGCGCCACAAGCCCTCGAAACTGACGTTTGAGCTTGCTCAGCTCACGCAACGTTCGTTGGCTTAGGAAATTGTCGTGACAAAAGCTCTTCTCGGACACTCCACCAGTTTTGCAATGCTGAACAACGTAGCGCCAGGCGTCAAAAGCGTTAATATCGGTAAGCAAATCACTTGCACCAACCGCAAATTTCTGACGAGCTTGCTTCATTTCAGTTTGACGGCCAAACGGAGCCACAAAAGGTGATTTCGTCTCGAGCACAGCGGCACAGGTACTTGCAGCATCGAACACACCAAAAAGCGCTCCAAGAAGGAGCAGTTTGCCCACCTTTACATCGACAGGAAGTTTAGCCAAGTGTGCACCCAATTTTGTAAGTTCTTCGTTCTCGCGGTTTAGTGCACCAATCTCGAAAAGCTCCTCCAATGCATCACAAATACTGACGTCGTCAGGTGGGTCTAAGCATGCCCGAAGAAATTTGCCGCAACCGTCTTTCTGATCCTTGTCTCCTACGCCAAATGTCTTTATTTGTAAACAGAGTGATGTTAATGGCGCACGTCGGATCTCGGGCACCGGTTGCTCAAGCATGACAGTATGAAAGACCGACTGCGGAAAGAGACGAAAACACGTGCCGCCACTCGTGCGACCCGCACGACCAGCACGCTGCTTTGCATTAGCCCGTGCAACCCAAATCTCCTGAAGCATATTCGTACGGCGCTGCGCATCATGGCTCATTTGCTTGACGCGTCCAGTATCGATGACAACCTTCACGTCATCAATTGTTAAAGATGTTTCTGCAATGTTAGTTGCTGCAATTACCCGAACAACACCTGGTTGCTGTCGAAATATGAGTTGCTGATCCTGTGCTGAAAGTGATGAGTGAAGCGGTAGAAACTCAAACTTGCGACCATACTGATCATTGCGTAGTAGGCGGCTGCCTTCGAGCATACCCAGTAATGTTGTGATTTCTTGAAGACCTGGAAGAAATACAAGCACCGACGCACTTTTTCCCTTGCGTCGGTCATCTTTTTCCGACAATGACAGCAGGTCTGTTTCCGTTGTGATATGCTCCAAAAGTGCTTGGATGAGCTCGTAATTGACAACTGAAGGATCGATACGCTCTAAGGCAAGCAGCGTTGACTTACTATACTTTTCAGCTAGCATTGTTTCTGTCTCATTCGCTTTCATCTTGGAGGAGGAAGTAGTGGTCCATGAGACCTGCTGTGTGTGGGATGTACCCCCACGACCTGAAATAGTAACTTGTGTCGACTTTCTGTCAAAGCTGCCTTCATCGACTGGTACGTAAGCGGGAGACTCCTCATCGACAACAAACTGGGTCTTTTCAAGCACATCTTCGAGATAGAACTGCTCCACGGGAAATGTTCGACCAGGTACAACAATCATCGGGCACACCGTGACTCCGTTAAAGTACGCCTGGAAGCTTGCAGCGTTGAGCGTGGCACTCATGAGAATCACCTTGAGTGATGGCAACGTGCCACCAAACTGTCGGCGTCTTGCTGCATTACCTTCTGTTAGGAACTGACGCAGCATGACCAGAAGCACATCACTCTGGAGATCGCGTTCGTGCACTTCGTCTACAATCACGTGACTTACCTCCTTGCCTAACGTGCGTGGGTCTTGCAACTTACGTAGCAAAATACCAGTGGTGCAAAAGAGTAGACGTGTGCGACAAGTCATGCGTGTCTCAAGACGGATTTGAAAACCTGTAAGCGAGTCACCCGTACCCATATTGGACTCACCCAGCTCATCAGAGACTCGTTCTGCTAGACTAATAGCAGCAAGTCGGCGAGGTTGGGTACAAACAATTTGACCACGAGCGCCACCTTGTTCTGAAAATAGTAGGTCTTCGAGCAAAAATTGCGGCACCTGGGTACTTTTACCACAACCAGTTTCGCCGGATATTAGGATCACGTCATGGTCCAAAAGCATTTCGATAATTTGTGTTTTGAACGATGCAATAGGCAAAGACTCGCGTTGCTTTAGCTTTGATAGGTACGCGCTTGAGTGCATTTGTTTCTGCAACTGCGCTCGCAGTTGGCAAGACAGCATTAATGCGGTTCTTCGATCACTTTCGCTTTCTTCTTCGATATCTGCAAACGCGGCAACATCATCACTTGTAGACTCGTTTGCATTTGTATTTTCCTCATCAGATAAGTCGGCGTCCCAGTCGTCAACACGCCAGTCTTTCAATGTGCTGTCCGTATCTCCACCATGCTTTTTTACACCCAAAGATGGATGCTTTGAAGCTGGCTCAGTCATCTCTACGTCTGCTAGCTTTTCAGCAATCTCCTGAGGAAGACTATTATAAATCTCGTTTAGTAGTTCATCTTGTTCATCTCGATCAGCGGCTGCCGCTGCCGCCTCACTATCTTGAAGCTCCTTGGTCCACTGCTGCCACATATCGCGGTATAATGGAGGCAGCACTCGATATAATGGCAGATCCGGCACTAGATCAAACAATGCACTAGTAGATACGGCATCCTTTGCATCTGAAATGGAATCAAATCCCTGAGCTGCATGATGAGCATCCTTCACGGTAATTTCTCGTTTGCCACCGACTTTGTTGCCTAAAATCACCGAATACAAGTGTCCCCCGCCTGGTGGACGGGGTAACTTCTTGTACTGTGGTTTCTGCAACCCATTCGCACGACATCGATTCTCCAAATGATCGCGTGGTGACTTTCCAGTCCAGGGGACCGCCGTCACAGCTTGAGCCTGAGCAGCTTGAGCTGCCGCTGCTTGGACCTTCAGCAAATTGCGACCTTTCTTATTCTTGCTTCCTTTGCCCTTCTTACCCTTTGACGCTACAAGGTCAGCCGCTACCTGAGCAGCAATAATTGCCGCCTTGTCGACTGCTGCGCTTTTCTTGATCTCCTCAGCACTTACTACAGTAGACTCAGCCTTCTCTAAGAGCCCAAACAAGCCACTGTCATCGTCATCCTCGTTATCTTGCTTTAGAGCAACTACATTATGATGCTTCTCCACTTCCTTGTTCTGCTGCTTCACAAAAATCTCCTTCTTCGTGGCCTCTTCTTCTCCATCCTTTGTCGAACCAAGCGCTAACGCCAACAACTCACTATCAGCATCTTCTATCGCAAGATTCGACAGAGCAAGTAATTCCATCGTTTCTAGAACTGAGTCATCTCTCTCCTCTTCGATCGCCAATTCCTTCTCGATCGTTTCCTTCTTTATATCTTTCTTCTTCGTTTTCGTCATTGTTTGCAACGGATCTATCCGTCCACGAGCCAATAGTTGTCGTCGTGTCTCCTGCAATTGATCATGCAGTGTACGCGTTTTCTGCTTGTCACCACTCTTGATTTTTTTTTTACTCTTCCGTTCCTTCAGACGATTCAACGCCGTCACAAGCTCATGATATTGTTTCTCCAGCTCTTGCACCTCCTGCGTCTCCAACGTCACCTCGTCTTCTGTTTGTTCCATTGTTTCTTCTCGTACTTCCATGTTCAGTACGTATTGCTGCGTCCATGACAATGCTTCCATCCTCTTCTCTTTTCCTTCCACCCCCTGTCCTTGTCCTTGTCTCTCTTCTTCTCCCTCCTTCTTCTTCTTCTTTTCCACACCTTTCACTTTATACATCTCCTCAATCTCTTCTCTCTCCTTGACCATACTATTCACTTCAGCAACAAGCTCTCCATGTTCTTTTGCTGTATCTTGAGTGTTCCATAGTCGCGTCGGCTGAGCCCGTAACGTCATCGGTAGTTCATCACTTGTATATTGCAATGCTAAGAAACTTAATGCATCGTCTAATGAATTTGTATACGCTAATGCCTCTTTACTCTGTACCATAGAAACTCCATAATCTTCACGTAATGCTCGTAACGTCTTTGCGAGTTTCTTCTTCTTGCGTTGTTGAGAGTGAATGTCAGCAGGTAGTTTCAATGAAGATGAGAGAGACAAGACACCAGGACGATAATATCGACGTTGCCGATGACGAGATGAAGAGAGAAAGGGACTTTCATGTACAAGTTGTTCCAAGTCCCGACGGAACTCAAAGCCCTGTTCAAACAATGGCATCAGATGGATACTGAAGGAATGACAAGGCGTTAGGTACGAAGGATACTTTTAATATCGTTTGAGTCCGATTGTCTTGACAAATGATTGCTCAAAAACGAACTTAAACCGTACGTAAGAGGGGGGCACTGAATCTGCTTTCTTTTCGATATAAAGCTCTTTTTTTGATTGTAAAAGGTAAAGAAAAGCATTTGACCTGTCAACATATTTAGGTTTTTTTGTAGCTTTTGGTGCATGTAGGCTACATTTTGCTCCTTAGAATCAACACAACCCTTTTTCTGACTGAAAATAAAGAGACTTACGCCAACGGCTGTCAACAATATATACATATAGTTATGAATTAGCAAGTGTAAACAGAAGCTGTTGAGCTTTTCAGTTAATAATTAACACCAAGTCATGCATTTTAAACGTAACTAGTCCATGTTGTCTACATCTTAAATTGCTTCTGTATATGGTAGAACCTCTTCTACCAAGAGTTAAATAAGTTTTCATGTCTTCTTCATCTAGCCACCATGACATGTACCTCAAAACAGCTCAGCAATCGCATCGCATCGGGACTCGACTGTTGCTATCTTACTGTTGTCGTTTACCACCCTTTCTCTGACTTTCATCTACGTTGCTGCCACAAATTGAGGCGACTGTTCCAACTGCAGCAATTCCATGGCTCCTAGCTCTAGTGTCTGCATCTCCTCCTTCCAATCAGAGCAAGGTACACTATCCTCCAGACCTGCTCCAGACTCCTATTTTACAACCTTTTAAGCCTCACTAACAGTAGTAAATTGATGCATCTTCCACCACTCTGCGGTCTCGTCCAGCAGCGGAAAGAAATAAGGCACATGAACCTTCTTCATTGGCACTTCAGCAGGATTCTTCTCCATCTTCTTACCAATACGCAGCGGCATGGTCAGCAAAATAGCACATCGTTTCTTCTCAGCTGACTGCATCATCTTGGTCTCTTTCTTCTTTTCAGTAGTCACGCTGTGCCAAGGAGATAGCAGCAGACCGGCAAACTTTGGCAGTAGCGAGTCCTGCTCATCGTGGTCGGTCATGATGTTCACGTCCATCGATCCAAGTATCTCGTCATCAGCACTGACAGTATCAATGGCAGTAGACAAATTCCGGTAGATGTGGAGTAGTAAGACACCAATAAACGAGAAGAACACGACGCCGAGCGCAGCAACGTCGAGCGGTTCCATCTTTTTTTTATCAGTTGCGGTAACTGACTTACGCTTCTCTGATTGGTACAAAACCTGTACCCAATGCATTTTATCTGACTGGTGAAAATTCGATTCAAGCCTCTGAAACTTCCAAGCATTTTGCCTGAAAGTTCCAGTTGTTGACCACGTAAAAAACTGGTGGCACGAATGGCTTCATGTCTTATTACTGACTCATATACAGCCTGGACTTCATCATAGGGATTTCTTACCATGATGGACTGCACGATCGCTACGTAGTAAAGAGCATAATCTCTACTGTTAATGCTTGACTCTGCGATCGCGCTTTCCGTGCCCTGAACTGCGCTCTTGGATCGAGGACAAAGGAGGGGAGAAGGATCCACTTGCGTCAACCGCGCAATGTCTCTCGCATCCTTGCTTTGTCTGTTTGTGTTCTGTACTAGTAATTTGCGCCAAATTGCCTGGCTTTTGCACCTCAACGATGTCTTGAAGTAGGACTGCATACGCCATACGTGTTTGCGCAAACTGCGTCCAAAACAGGGCGACGGCAAAGCTCTTGTCGGTCAAATCTTGTGACTGCTCAAAGTCTATGGTGCGACATCGAGCCACCGACGGCTGCAGAGCTCCAGTCACTGCTTTGTTACGCTCGCTACCCACAGCCCGCGACAGCTTGTTGGACAGGCGGCATGAAAATATGATGATGCAGATTACGAGCGCAAAAAAATACTGATTATGGTGTTCGTTTATGATCTCTTGGCATGCATGTCCATCAAACCAAGACAGATCTCGAATGTACAATGTGATCGCCGCCGGAGCTTTATTTGTGCTCAGAAAGCCCTAAAAAAACATTTTTCTTTGCCGTCGATCGGGGCAGACACGAATACTGCTTGCTATGGTGATACCACGCTGATGGTACGTTACTATCATGCTAAAAGCAGAGTGTGATAGACCCTAGTGATATAACATACCTATGAAGAACAACTTGGTACCTACAAGATGAGCTTGAAAACGTGCAAGAGAATGAAAGAATTGGCTGGTAGTGTAACGAGGTTGCATTCATTCTACACCTACTAGTACTTACACATGAACTTCTTCTCTTTTTTTATAGTAGCTGAGCGCTACATACATAATTAAATTTGATCGAAACCTTTAGAGCTCAAAGTCAAAAATGAGTTCACTCGTAGAGACATTCCGTGTCTCAACTGCACGCTTGGCGGACAAAACAGCAGTTGACCGTCGCTCGACGCTCTGGTGATTGCAGCACGAACACTGATCGCATTCTTTTGCGTTCTCTTCTTCACCTTCATCCCACAGCCACCAATTAGTGGACGTGGCTACGTACTTGCGCGTCTGTGAGGGAATCAATATGGGTGAGGTACGAGTCTCACTGGGACGCGCCATTGGATACGTAACCTGTTGGCGAGCGCGCTCTCGCTGAAGGTTAATGAATCTAGCCATAAGCTGCAGATCGTCACGGCCAAGTGTGTCGCCGCCACGCTCTGAGTCACAGTCGGTTTCATCGCCTGATAGATACACCGGATCCTCGTCGTCAAAGGCGGTGGGCTTGCAGCTGACGCTATGTGAAGGCGCCCACGTGGGCAGGCTCTGGGTCTGAACAGGATGCATGCTAGCTGGAATATATAATGCTAGTTAATAAATGGCGCAAGGCTTGTGTATGGTAGCAGATGCACGTAGTGCTCTGACAATTGCAGACTGAGGCATCCGTAGCGGTTGCTGTTGGATCGCCGGGTTGCAGTGGCGTGGGTGACAGCACAAGGCGTTAATGCACGCGCGCAATACAAAGGTTTTGATTGGCTAGAAGGCTGTGTCAAGCGCAGGCTTCGCTCGTCCATTTGTTAATAATGAAAATTCAGGTGTGATTGGTCAAATTCATGCAGCGTACATGGCCAGGCTACGAATCTGCTTCGGTTTGGTCCGAGGGTGTTGTTGACGGTAAAAAGAATCCCAGCTGTGTGCTAAGCGCGGGCGAGCTCATTGTAACGCTCCTTCGTATGTTCATACTGGGGCTTGGTGATTCGAACAGTCCGTCAACGAATCTCCTTCTAGAATTGAGTGGTACAATACCGCAAAATTGATACCGTTATCGCTTTTAGCAGGAAATAACTGCAACTAAACTGCAACTTGCTGAAATTCACATGCAACGCTGGCAATGAATGAATCATGTGTCTCTGCTGACGGCGAGGGCGTGCTGTTTGTATTGCTCTGTGCTGTGAATCATCGTCTCCGAAGACGGTTTCCTGCTGCTTGAATGACGATGTAGTGTCTATTCCCGTCTCCGAAGACGGTGTATATCATCGTCGCCGACGACGTAGTCTGTATTGATCTGCAGTTTGTCTAACCGTCGGCGATGATGATGACGAGCGAGCGATAAGTTTGTCATCGAAGACGATTGTGCTAAGATCAGTTGACGTTTGGGACATAATATTTTTGTTTGTTGTAAGATAAGTTACGGCTTTGTGGTCACCTTTTACAAGCCCGACACCCGCGGGCAAATAAATACTCTAGCTACAAGCATACATACATACATACACGCAGCTTAGAGCTCCATAGCAAAGATGTCTTCGTCACGGTCGTCCACGCCAGTGGGGGAGGCAGGAGAAGCGATGGCTTTGGATGTACACGTGCTACTCTTTGTCATACAACTCTGTGAGACACCATGTTGTGAGCGGAAGAAGGCCAGATTGCCGTAAAACGCCGGATCATCTTCATCCAGCTCGTCGCAGTCATCTTCGTCTACATGCAGGTAGCGACCGGCACGCAATAGCTGCATATCAGCGTGGTAGGACAGACCGGGGCTTTCAACGACGTTCTCGCACCAATCTGAATGCAGGTGTTGGCGACTCCAAGACGGAATGCTGATAGGTGCCGTGCGCACCCACACGCGTGGTACGTCTTTGGCCAAGAACGAGCACTTGACCTCGTCATGGCGCTGACAATCGTTTGAGTCGATATCTGAGTCTGCACACTCGGTCTCGGCATATGAGGAAGTAGGACTGTGTTGTTCTGGCATGGTCGTCCACTTGTATAAGTCTTGTATACTGTTTGCCTGTTTAGTTCGTGGCAAAATCGATAATACACGAGCGTCTACAGCAAGCATTGACCTCCTGCCTGCCTGCCTGTCTATCGCCCACGCCAGTAGTATTTTCGGTTGGTAGTGTTCGAACACTGTACGATTGGTCATTATTATCATAACCTAAGCCAATCCGAATGCTACCAAAGTGTGGCCACGATTTTACCAAAGATACGGGGATGTGTGGTTGGCAGAAAAGCGACGATGCGGTGCCGATCGTGGACAACGATTGGCCAGAACCAAATTACAAAAAGACACACCAGCACTATATGATAAAGATGGACAATTTCGTGTACAACAGTCACAAAATGAGATATTCGTAAACATTATAAAGTGCCGTAAAATATCGTCTTCGTACACTCTTCACCGTGACACTCCAACGATAGTATTGGCAACCGTACTGTATGTACCATAAAGGTTCAGCATCAGTGAGACACTGGCAGAAAAAAAGGATCGCATTTTTAGAAGATAAAAGAGAGTTTCAGTACAAACTTCTAGTTACTTGCAACTCATTGTATTTAGTTGTCGCACTGAATCAGCGTAAATACCGCGTTCCAATCGTGCTGGATCGATAAAGCCTGCGACAAATGTGCACCGCATTTGCGCACATATCGGGCAACGTCCGTGAGTCGCAATGCGACCTCTAAGATAGCAAGAAGAGCCAACCAACGCACGTACTAGTGTGTGACAGCCAAATCTCAAAAAAGGCCGGACTCGCCGAATCGCGCTTGCCGTTGAGCTGTCTGGACTTGACGCTGAACGATTGGCGAAGCATGCGCGCCGGTTCGTCCAAGTCAATTTTTTGGACAAATTTTGCCGTCCGTAGATCTTGCTTGACTTTACGTGAGACTAAAACGCCAACGAACGCGTTAGCATAGGGGTTCCAGTGAATCGTACACGATTGTATGTGCGTGCTTGAAACCCGCGCATCCGAAATGCCATCGCCTGGCTACGACCAAAAGTAGACGCGGCAGGATCTGTTGTGCTATGCTTGTCACAGATGAAGTTTAAGATCCAGTGAGAAGTATCTGATGACGGTTGTTACAGTTAAGGTTCAAGCAAGTTCCGGTCACAAGTACAACAGGTAAAGTGCTCCCGTCCCACATTTGACTCCTCCAGTCATCGATTGCCTGTGACTTACCACTAAGACGACAAATGCACTGAATGTTTTCTTTTATGAATTGGAAGCTACTGGTTTGAAGTTAGTAGAAATGAGCTGTGCATGTAACGTTAATTGACTGAGTGGACCGACCAAATGCGGATTCTTGGAAAGATCGTCCGTTATAAAGTAAATATGAACAAACAATACACTGCTAGAATTCAATACATGAAACACCTACAAGTGACATTGACATTAGTCAAGAGCTCTTGGATTATTGTGGGTGCAGTAGATGCCGGACCAACAAGTAAAATCCTTGTTATCTACGTTACTTAACGACGATACTCTTTCACTGTAAACCAGCCGTGATTGCGTCCTAAAGCTATGGAATAGATGATGTTTTGATTGTAGAATAAGAACTCCTTCTGACCAGATGAGGTCAGTTTGCAGATGCTTTTCAATGGCACAGAACGCTAGCTTCAACATCACCATGTCAAATCAGTACGTCGTGTCTACACGAACCGGTAAGTTGATGCAAAAAAACGAAATTGGGACTTGTTTATATCGAGAAGAAACGTCTTCTGACACGGTCATGTCTCTCCTGAGCACCTAACGGATTCCAGGCGTTTGCCAGCATGCTGGTGAGATTCTGCACTTGAATTCACGAATGCACTCAACAAGAATGACAGAACCACAAGTAGCTCTTTACTAGTAACAACAGCACATGACTCAACTGATACAGTGGATCACGTGGTGTATACAAAGGCTAAACAAACGTAATTGTCGTGTAGCGTGATAAACAACCACACGTTGCGATACAATTACCAAGCTATAAGCAGTTAATCCTAGAACTTAATTAGTATATTCCATGCAAGAGATAAGTTCTAGGACGCTATTATACCGTACTTTAATTCAGGCAGCTGTCTCTCTCTTTATGTACACAACGTCGTGATTACATGAATAAAATAACACTTGTTCGTTACAAAGCTGTAAACTAATAGGTCAAAATTCGTAAAGTACAATCATTTCAACACTACAAACTTGTTTCTAGTATACTACCGAACGAACCCGACAATGAATGACGAGAAAAACCCACAATACAAGAGCTGAAAGAATCCAATATCATGATGAAAGAAATGCCACTTGACATTGGACTGCGTGTAGGTACGTACGTATCTCTCTCTATCGGTCTCTCTCTCTATTTATATCTTATCCTATCCCCTCTTTTCTCTTTTCTAGATGTATTAGATGATGAAGGTATTTGGAATACCGGTGTAATTGTTGATGTTGGTAAAGAGAAGAAACTGGATAAAGTCGAGATTAAGTACGATGGGTGGGATGAAGACTATAATGAATGGATCAGTGTTGATAAAAAGCGTCTTGCTCCATTGCATACGTACACAATTGTGAAGAAATGTTGGGCAAAGCTCAGTAAATGGCCCTGGTGGCCTGCATTTGTACGTCTTTGGTAGTTACTACGAGGATTAAAGTGCCTTTGATACCATATGAATAATTGAATATGTGGTTTGATGGTGGGTGTTTGTAGGTGGTTCTACGTGCACCGGCAACAGCTTTGGCTGCTAAAGGTCTGGAAGAAGAGACGAAACTTTATGTCGAGTTTTATGACTCGTTTCATGAAGAGAAACGTTCACGTTGCTGGATACAAAAGAAGAATGTAGCATCATTTCGAGACAACTTTGAAGAACGTGCGTGCAAGAACATTGGCAAGAATTTTCATACGTTTGTGGAAGGTACACAGCGTGCGAAGGCGGGCACGTCACCACTGTTATTTTCGGGCCCAGGAACACTTCCTATTGAGTACTCTAGCAAGCTATCGGAGCCTATTGAGGAAAAGAAAAAGGAGTGTACATCAGAGCAGTGGTTTCGTCTTTACAGAGACTTTAGCAACCGCTATCAAGAACTGTACGGGTACTCGACAGCAGCAGATACGACTCTCAAGTCAGACAAGTGCAGTCCAGGTCCTCACTCCAAAGAGGAGGCTGTGAAGCAGGAGACGAGTACAGGTGTGTGTGGCTAGAGCCGTGTCAAGTGGTTTGGTACATAGGCGAAAAAGTGATGATGAGGATGTCTTTTCTTGAATGTCTTGATGAAGGTGAAAGTGACGATAAGGAAGCAAAGCTGAAAGCTGACGAGCCTGAGGAAGCTGGTAACGCTGAAGAAGAGATAGCTTCAGGACGAGTGGACACCCGTCGGAACAAGCGCACCGCAGCGGAAGCGTTACCTGTCTGCCATAACACCCGACCTCGTCGCGTTAAAGGTTGATGTGAGATGTAGCCTACTTTGTCATCTGGGACGTAGTTTCCGTCTGTCTGTACTTGCAATGGTAGTACGGATGGTTGGGAGCGTGCATTTGTGCCTGTGTCTAGCTATCTGCCTTCCATGCGTGCATAGTGTTGACTGTGTATGTGTGGTATGGCTCGTTGTAAAATCAGTAATTGAGGTACTGTCTGATACAAGCTCTTCTATGAATGCGTCTCTTCTTTCACATCCTCCATGCGTCCACGGCTCGAGCTCAGGTCCTCAAGGAATAGAGGGCCAGCACGTATAGTGTCTTGGCCAGCTGCACTGAATTTTGTAGCTAACACAGAAGTCAATCAGACAGCGAAATCTGGGACCCGAATTGCATTGCATGCACAGCTAGGACTTCAGGAATGAAGGAAGAGGAAAACGTAGTGCCTTTGCGTAGTGTCAGAGAAGGATGTTAGCACTCCCATCACGGAGGCGTTGTCGCATAGAAGAGGGCAAGCCCGTGAGTCCGTTTGTTATAGGTGGCTGCCCTATACTGGACGGCGAGATAGGAAGCTGCAGTGGACGACAAAAGGGTTGGAAATCACCACTGACTAGCTTGTCCGAGTGTACGCAAGCGGCAGAGGTTTTGGGATCAAAGCAAGCATCTGAACAAGACTCCGATTTTGACCAGGATTGGGTTGGCTAGTCTCACGATGATGTAGGAAACAAGCCTTGGAATATCCTTGGATGGTGGTTCATGGAGGTTATGAAATCGTAGACTGCAAAGGAAGCGAGAGGAGACTGTCACAGAGAAGACCCATGCAGACCATAATGGACTGGAGAAAGGTCTGTAGTGGTGTCATGTTGAGTTGCTTGTCACTCCCAATACTTGGTCTGATGTCATCAGGGTGTTGATGAGGCTGTTCACGACATTCTTCAGCTTGCAACTATCGCTTGCTCGCGTGAGACTGCAGCGAGTAAGTCACGAAATGGAGCTGTTTGAGCTTTTGCCACGATTGAACGGGAATGGCAGTAACCGAATGGAGCCATGAAACAATAAAATGCTTGGAGTCTGCGATACAGAACGAGGTGAGCGCAACGGTTGTCACAAATGTAGCAACGTAAAATCATTACAAGCGTATTACGTCACGTTACTACCGAGGCAGGCGTCTTACTTGTCTTCATCCAGATAAAAAAAAGCGAAACGTTTGTAAAAGCCGCGGGCTTTTTCCAAGTAAGTCACTTCCATCCACTCAATGCAACGCGAAGTCCTCAGGAATCGACAGTGTTTGATCTTGATACAATATAAAAGAGACAAGGCTCTGGCAAATGTTCTAGTTGCAGGAACAACATTTAGCCGCTTCAAAACTGATCATATGCAACTCGAATCTTGGTCCTGCAATTTGGACAGGTATTGGAGGTTTATACAGAAGAATTTGTGCATCGAAGCGACATTACCAGCACATTTCATCGTGAAATGCATGACGGGCCGATCGCGCAAAAGGATTTACACATTGAGTCGTCCGTTCATCTCTCGCAAATGCTAGTGATTAGCATTACATTCCACCGCCCATGAAATCGGTCATCAACCTGCGCTTGAACCATGACTCCATTGAAAAGTTATTGCTCGAGCTGAACACTGCTGTCGACGGAGCAGCTAACGCCGTATTAGTCTGAACACTTGAAGCAAAAGTGCGAAGTTGAGGTGGTCGCGCCATGCCGACCAGTGAGTCAGTAAAGCAAGTCGGTATTTGAGGTACCGAGACTTCGTTAAATTTTCTTGGTACACTGATGATAGTCTTTTTTGAACACTTTACTGTCTCGGTGGCATCTGCATCTGTAAAGAAAAATGCAGCAAGACCAACACAAGTAAGTCAATGTCAAGCATGTCATACTATGCCCGTACATACAACAACGCATCTTACCTTCTTGATCTGCTTGCATTACACAGAACCGCCTACGAAGCTCCTGACTGCATCCATCATCGTGGATGCGGCGGCGTTTACCCGCACCAAGCAAAGTCGAATAATGTTTTCCGACATAAGAATTCGCCCCTGCTGAGTCCCTAGAGTCAGCTCCTGCTATGCTCCCGTCAGTGATTCTTTTTCTAGCCGTGTTTTCATCATAAACGCTTTTTAGCTTGTCACTGTCAGAGCCGGCAATATGAGGAACGGAGACAATTGAGCAGCCTAGCTTATCACAATACCTGCTGATGCCTGTCGTCTCCAACAAAAGGCTGCAGCCGCTTTGTCCAGCCCGTTCATGTCTTGCTCCTTTTCTAGCAACGAGCTGTTGTCTTGGTCCCATCCCAATTTTCTTTTTCTTGGTATCGCCGCTTTGACGATCGATTATCGCCTCGGATTGCATCGAAAGCATTTTCGATGCCCCCGACTTAAAGCTGCTAGGGCCAGAGTCAGAGTTCACGCCGTTCTTTTTTGACCGTTTTGTGCTGTTGCCAGATCCAGAACGATCTGGGGCTATATCGAGTTGAGCAAGATTAACAACACTTTGTGCTGCATCTACCTCGTCATTGTCAGCTGATTGGTCCACATTCGCACCGACAATCTCCCCAGCAGATGACAACCTTTGCTTAGCAGTCAATTTGGTCCGTCCTACACACGGCGTTTTGTCAGTGCTTCCTTTGCCGTCATTGAATCCGGTTGTTTCGTAAACATGATTCATTTGATGACGCATTTTGCTATGCATAAATCTTCGAAACCATTGCTCGTCGTCAATCTCTTTTCGTACGGTCTCGACAGATTTTGCAGGACTATGCTTGTACTCCACTGGTAAAGTACCGACCGCAAACTTGGGCATTGTTGTTGATGCAGTTGATTGCAACATCCATCCTAATGCTCGTTCAAAACTCGCACCAGTTGATCCCGTCCGCTTTGTATCAAACTTCTCATCAAATGCCTGTACTCTTGTCTTTTTTTGCCAGCACCTACCAAGCGAAAGAAAAAAAACACACAACAACAACGTATCATGAATAAACTTCTACCACGACCACAAATCTAAAAGCAACAACAACAACATCTTCCAGTTTTAGTAAATAGCATTCTCATGTTTGTACCTGTCACGTTTTGTAAATTTTGGTTTGTCGAAAAAATCCACAAAAAGTCGATTCTCCGATGCAAGATTCGTAATACCTGCTTTTGTACCTGGTGTTCGAATTGTAATCTACAGACAAACATTAACAATAGAATAGGGAGCTCTTGGACAATAGGTTCGATCTTATACAAAAGTCTTTGTAGAAAAAATACAGACCAAGGAAGGCCAAAGTGGCCAATTAAGATACTTGACCCAGCACTTGACCGTCCATGTATACGTATGATAAGGTGCGACACGATTACTATTGATAGATACGACTTCATCGTAATCCTTTGGCCACCCATCATACGTAATTTTTACCTACATGATTATTCTATTAGTCAGTTTTAGTCTAAATTCAATACATTTTGTTTCGGCCATAAAAAAACCCAGTTTGTGTGGCGAAAAAAAACCTTTTTGGGTGATACAACAGACAAAACTCGTGCTACATTCCATACGCCATCAGCATCTAATACATCTATATACAAAGCATGGAATGGAATGTATCAAGATATTTGTATATGACAAGAGTAGCAGTAGTTGTAGCAGTAGTAGTATACCTAGCCAATCATTCTTTTCTAATATACATTGAGGCTTAATAGCCGACCCTTTACGAGGCCTCCTTTGTACTGGATTCATGGGCTTTTTTGGGTTTTTTCAAATCGTGAAACTTGAATTTTTAGCTGAATATTTCAGTCCAAACAGTAGCAATGTGGTTATACCGGTATTGTATGTGTATATGGCCAGTAATGTGACACGTTCTTTTTTTTTTTTACTTTTTACAACAAAACCGGCAATAGCAATATATAAAAATAAAGAGGTTCTTCTCATCCATGTTGACAATAATGTTGTCCTACTTACTGTAGCACACAAAAACTGTCTCGAAGAAACTCCACAATATTTGTTGGTGCACAACGTTCACAGCGATACCACGCATTTGTCTCAGGACGGACCTTGGTCGGATCACGGTAAAACATTTGCCCACATTCTCGACACGTTGCGTAATCACGCGAGTTTGTGCCTTCCGCAGGCACAAAAGCAGTCGCTACGGGAAGTGCACGAGGAGGTAATTGAGTTGCCGGATAAATTGAGCCAGCAGTAGCAGTTGGGAGAAGCAATTGGACGTGACACACAGGACAGGATAGACCCGTTCGCAAGTGGTTGTCAATACAATGCGCATGGAAGAGATGGCCACATTGCGTCTGCTTTACAATGTCTTTCTCAACTAAACGTTTGTGACAGCGTGCACATTCAGTTTTAGTAGTGTCCATTCCTGTCTTTGGATCTTTCATAGGAATATACGAGCGTTGTGGGATGTCAGCAGCTGTCTGAAGCAATAACCTGGCAGTAGGAACTGGAATCATTCTTCTTCTTCTTCTTCTTCTTCTTTGAGACTGATGGATGAATTGATAATGACTACAATACTATTTGTGTATGTGCTTGATTTTTGATTACGAAATCCAGTGACATGAATGATATACGTGCATTTGTGTACGCTACATCAAACTAATAAGCTAAGAATATCACGGATACACACACATCCCATCATCACATATAGAGAGCACTGCAGAATTCATTCACACGAGACTTGTTGTGCCCTTTTATCTGTGCTGTTCTTGACGTACGAGAGGTCCTTTTACCTTTGCAAATACTATCAAACTGCGTACTCGTCTACTACGTATCATTCTAACACTCTTGTAAGCTCACGAGAGGAAATATGTTTAGTTTTATTGCTGACAAACTCAACGTCAAGAACTTGGGCGAGCTGTTGGCCCCTACGCTAACACCTGAGCAGGAATTACACGCTGCTATTGAACAAGGTTTGCATGAAAAGTTTGTCTACATGTTAGATGTGGACAATATTGATCCCAATGCCAAGAACGAAGCAGGGAACTTGCCAATTCATACGGCAGCATACCACGGTCGCGTCGGCTTCCTCGAGATTTTGCTCGCCCATAATGTAGACGTCAATGCTACGTGTCAACGTCAAAACTCTCCATTGCACTATGCTGCGGCACAGAACCGTGACGATGCTGTCAAGTTTTTGGTGAACCATGGCGCGAATCCAGCGCTCCGTAACCGGAACGGCCGTACGCCTTACGACGTGGCTAAGGGAGACAATATTCGCCAGTATCTACTTCCACTGCAATTCCGACACGAAGATCCGACGCAGGTCGCGTCAATGCTACCACCTGGAATCACACCCTCTGTAGATCCGATGGCACCCCGGCCGGTAATTGCTCCGCCGCCGCTCAGTGGAGACTATTCGGCGATGCAGGGTCCTCCGACGGGGATGCCACCGCAGGAGATGCCGCAAAATATTTTGTACGCTGCCGCTACCCATAGTGCTATTCCTCGTGGTGGACAGTCACGATTTACTCGCCCAAAGGACTACCGCCCCATCCAGGCAGATGGATTCGGTTCTAGCGTAGGCAACGAGGAGTTGACTGCCAAGTTTGGGAATACGCGTGAGATTAAGGTCACTGCACCGCCTCCAGCCGCCATGATGCCGCCAGCACCCGTCTCGATTGAGAGTATTCCTGTTGAAGGTTCTAGTCCGGTTTCATCTGCTCCTGGCGCAAATCCGTACGCTTCTACATACGCCAACAAGCCACGGACGTCTCCAAGTGGTGGGTACCCTGGACACGCGCCTCCAAATTTTGGCAGTGCGACTCGCAGCTCGCCTCAGTTCAAGATCTTTAATCCCAAGCTGGCTGACGCTGTGTCCAATGCGACAGGTACTGTTTCTGTGGCACAACCTCCTACGTTCGGTTCAGTCGGAACTTCGGGTGCCGTTCACTATCCTCCTGCCCACGCATCCCAATACGATGTACCTGCACAGGTTGAAGAAGTGAATTTATCAGCTAACGCTAGTGTGCTGCAGTAGCTTCAATCACAGTCGTACAGTCTGCAAGTAGATACTGTAAGTAAGCTTAATTGACACGCGGATTACGGAAGATGTCTCGTCACATGCAAAGTAACTGTACTAAGTGGTAATATCATCATGTTGGCTTCACAAGTTTCTAGCCAACAGTGACACTCACCACATGAGCGTAACAGATTCAGAGGCGATCAAAGCGCTGGGATTGCTCTCATTTGAGGAGCTGTCTCTGCTTCACGACCATAAAATGGCACTCAAGAAGGACCACGCAGCCTATGTTGATGCACACCCGGAAATCAAGACGCTACTAAGTGGTTTCATGACGGCACTGCTGCTTGAAAAGCCGCAGGACGTCGTAGCTTTTGCATCAAAACACTTTGCGACCTACAAGTCACTGCCACATACAGAGGTGTTGCAACATAAATGTTGAGTCTTTATATACTGGGAATAGATCGAGTGTATACTTATACTTTTTGATTGCATGTATCCTACAGCTGGAACCGATTGTGATTGCTGGTCCTTCAGGTGTCGGCAAGGGAACGCTCATTAACTTGCTTTTAGCAGCGTTTCCCAACACTTTTGGATTCTCAGTGAGTCATACGACACGTGGACCGCGTGAGGGTGAAGTGGATGGTGTATCCTATCACTTTATAGAGAAGGAGACGATGCTCAAGGAGATCGAGGCTGGTCTGTTCTTGGAACATGCCCAGGTGCATGGCAACATATATGGCACTAATAAACGTGCAGTGCAGGACGTTCAGGAGAAGGGCAAGATATGCATTTTGGACATTGACATCCAGGGTGTGCAGCAGGTCAAAAAGGCGGGTCTTTGTGCCAAGTACCTCTTCATTGCTCCACCTTCCATGGAAGAGCTTGAGAAACGTTTGCGTGGACGTGCCACCGAAACCGAGGATAAGATTCAGTTGCGTGTGAAGAATGCTGCCGATGAACTTGTCTTTGGTCAGCAACCGGGTGTATTTGACGCCATTCTTGTCAACAGGGTAGTGGATGATAGCTTCCGGGAGCTAGTTGTCATGCTCAAGCAGTGGTACCCAACTGTAGAGCTGAAGTAGATGAATGGAGTAGGTGGCTACATGTCCGGTGATAATGTACAAAGCAAGAAAACAATGAATTTGGATGAAGATGCTGAGTCCTTTGTCTACCTGATGCTGTAATTTACTTCAAATGCACTCGTCAGACAAACACAAACACTACTGACTACCTTTGATTTGGAAGCATCTAAAACAGTCCGACGTAATTTAATTCACGTAATTTAATTATTTTACGAGCTTTGACTGGTCTACAATGAACAGCACGAGGAAAAAAGATGACAGTGATGATAATGAGCATTTGACGTTATCAGCCACAGCATTAGCAGCTCTGCAGGAGTTTGCGATTGAGCAAGGGATTTCCGTGGGCAATGATTCATCAGATATGCGTCTGGATATTCAGAAGGCGTTGGATATTGAGCCTAAGGAAGATTCATTTGAGTTTCAATTCGGCAAGTCTGCAGATGGACACAAAGGTGAAGCAGCGATTACGATTCGTCTCAATGGATTGCGACGGGATATTGGACAGACCCTGCAATCTACAGGACTTACGCTCTGGCGTGCTGGAGATTTCTTGAGCGATTACATGTACCAGAACCGTAGCCGATTTGCTCATAAATCGATAATTGAACTGGGTAGCGGACTTGGACTGATTGGTATCTTGGCATCCTATCTCACTGAAGAAAACGTGGTAGTAACAGATGGTGATGAGGATACGATGGAGCTATTAGCTGCAAATATCAAGCTCAATGACGTGAAGGACAAGGTGCAATGCAGGAAACTACTTTGGGGCATCGACTTGGATCAAATTGAAGACAAGTTTGACATTGTTCTAGGAGCTGATATCATTTACGAACAGGAACATGTTGTATCACTGTTTGAAACAGTCAAATACTTGCTAAAACCTGGTCGTCAAAGTGTAGAGGGTACTGACAAGGCCATATCGGAGTTTCTGCTAGCGTACACGAAGCGAAACGTATCAATTGATTACGTTCTAGATACTGCAAAGAATTTTGGCTTTGAGTGGGAAGAACCAACAACTGATGAAGGCATCTACACGTTTAGATTAGTGTAAACCTGTCTGCATACGATGCAAACAAAACGGACATGACCTTCCAATCAGTTATCCATGTTTTCGATGCATTATGCGCACGCACTGACAGACTATGTAGATCTGGGTAAACGTGCTGGCAAGTACTTTGTGCTAAACTCTCGTAGCATATGGAGCTGTCTTGGATGCAGACATATGTGTGGTCGTTTATTTTTCACCATTGCAAAAGCCTCTTCAAGTGTCATTTGGCGATATTGAATAAGAAATGCCACGACGATCACTGCGCTTCGACCGCGTCCAGCTTTGCAATGCACGTACGTCGTATTTTGCTGCACGTCAACCTGCTCATGAATAAATGCCACACACCTATGCGCAGGCAGGCAGGTCAGAGCGTACAATTCATCAACCGTCACTTCCTATCAAGACCAACCTCTCAATCGTAGCTACTGTCGGCGGTGAAAAGTCCGCCGTTGATCCAAAGCACTGAGCAATCTGCTCCTTCTTCCATTCCACTGACATAGTAAACGTCAGTCTTCATTCATAGCTAGATCTCTTATCGGACAGTCGTGTACCTGGCAAAATTGGTCTTGACAAGAAATTTGGTAAGAGCTCAACTGGCTGATTCATGGTAACAATTGCTTTCACCCCCTCGCCATGCACCAACTGCAGCATTTACAATGGCATACTTATTTAGCCAAATCGAAGAAGAAGACGACGCAAAAAAGAGCTCACAATGTCGATGAACCTCGTATAAATGGTTCTTATTCTGTAGCGGTAGTGCACCGAGGAGTAATTTTGGCTCAATACGACTCCACCATGGACGACGCTGCTCGTGTTGCAGCATCATGTTATACAATAATGATACATGGAAGACCTGTTTGCCACCAATGAGTCAATCGAAACGAAAATGTATGAGAGAATAATGACAAGCAAAGGAATAAATGACGTAGTATAGATATATATATATATATTGAGGTGTGAGCTTGATTTACAATGTCCCAATTCCACGTGGTCATGATGATGTTCCACATTATTGTAAGGTGCTGCCTTGCTGCAATCATTGCGATACGTGCTATGTCAATGATCCATTCGATTTGTCAGGTTTTTGATGGCTGAGCTCATCATATCGACTACTTTGTCTACTTAACAATACTACTACTTTACTTTGTTTATCTATACGACATCTGTGACATCCTCATTATTGATAAGAAGACCTACTCATCAGATCATCTTTGGATCATTGGAATCAGATTACTTTGTAGTTTCAATATGGAGACCATAAAAACGTGCAATTTGAGTGCCCACCAGCAGCTCTGCTCATTCATGTCACTTTCTGAGGATGATGACCTGGCGCAGCTGATTCTTGAGGTATGTTTCGACTTTCATTGGCTCTACTGTGTCCTCTGTTTGACTTGAAAAGGCCTCCTCGTGGGTGTGTTTTGCTGCAACTTTGACAGGAACTTGCCTTCTCAAGGCGTGCATTCATGGGTATAGCAGCAAGGATTGCTAACTCACCATCGAGCATATCGATGTCTGGACTTGATTCGATCTCTGAAGACGAAGAGGGGGAGGGAGAAGAATAGAAGCGGAGTGATAAGCAATTCGTCCACAGAAAAGAACGATGGCACTCGGTCGTGTGCACGATTGAGCATTTGCACGGTGACAGGATCGTCGTCAACGCTGAGAAAATGATTGCAAGGTGATATTTATTGGAAACATTGAAGTCTGTTTTAACGTTTATTCTGGTGGTGTCTGCTTCACTTCCATTCCGATTAGGCGCATTGTCAGCCATTGACATTGTGTTGCTTTGGTAGCTATTGCTTGTGTCAAGTGTAGCAGCAAGCTGCGGTATTGTATCTGGAGAGGAATGACTCGGTATCGCTGATAACGTTTGCAGTTTGCACCAGTGTTATCATTAGTCTGTTGACACGTCAACTTGAAACAATGTAAATACTCAGGTTCATCTATCAATGCTAACGTCGTCGGGCAACGTTAGCTACCAATGTATGTCACTGGACAAGACCACCGTTTTCAAGCACTTTATTTCTCAGCCTTAGCTCGAAGCATCTTGCTCGAAACATCGTTGCTCTGAATCCAGGTGGAAATATCTGTGGGCATGGCAGGGCTCACCTCCTCATCAATCTGTAGCTCTGGGAGCTTGTCGACAATTTGCTGAGGGCTAAGTGCGCCAAGCACCGTATTCTTTACCAGTACAATGGCGTTCACAAAGCTTCCATTAGCACCTTTGGTCACGAAGCGATGTTCGACGTAAAAGGCACGCTTGTCCCAACAAATGAGTCGTGACTCCAATGTGTAGACCTGGCCAAACGACAGCTCGCGTCGATAGCGTACAGTCTGTGCACCTACAACAAGGTTGCCATCCACTGCAGTCACGAGCTTCCATACGCCGTTGTGCTAGCGACAGCACAACAGAACACGTCAGTGAATTCGTCGTGATCGCTCACGTTCAAGATCTCGACTAGGTCGTACCTGCCATAGATCACGGCGACCAAAGCCACATTCACGCAGGAAACGTGCGTTATTGCAGTGTCCATTCCGATCAATGTCCATGAGTCCAACGTGACCTTTGATCTTACTCACTGCAAGCAAATGGCGACGAGGTTTGCAATCTCGAGACGTAATTGATTGCAACCCCAAGCGCAAAAAGTACCATAAATCACAGAAAGCAAAACCTGAGAGCACACCAACACTTAGTGCAGTAATATAGCTAGCATTACCAACAAAGTAGCTCAGAGCTGACGCCACGAGCTGCTGTAGTACAATCAACATGCAGGCCAGCACTTTAACCATTAACTACTATTACTACTACTATAAGTACTATCAACATTTAATTACGACAGGATAATAGAAATAGAAAGGTAATCATTCAAAGCACCACAATGTGGTCCACCTAATGTTTTTCAAACTTAATATTCATTGGCTTCTATGATCACACTTAGACAAACCAATGGAAGTACAGGCTCGTACATTAGAAGAAGAAATCCGTCAATTATGTGACCAGCAGGAACATACAAACCATATATCTTTATTGAAACAACGACTTTATAGTCGTGTAGGTCAATTTCTAATGGGACATATCAATTTATCTCATTGGTGGTGTCATTATACTCACCTCATGGTCTTTATGATGCGGGTTCTGGAACTTTATCCCGCATCAGAGAGTGTTTGTCTCTTTTATAAACGAATGGAATCACAGCTTGATCGTTGTCGAAAATGGTAGAAACTACAATATTAATTATAAGAGGTTTATGTGGTATCATAGTAAACAGACTAACCACTCGGGTGTATCGATATGATTGTTGTTATTGTATGATGTTTTGTATGGTAATAATAGTGTGGACACTTATCATGCATCGATGCCAAACGTTCACATTGAACTGGAATTTGAATTTACACCGGAATCTATTAAATCATTTTTTATTAAACTTCAAGGGCTTGATGTGGATCGAGTGCATCGTCAATTAGCAAAGACGTCCATGGGACTTGTTAATGCTTCACCCGAGATATTGGAGACTGTAGCTATTACGCTCTATGAAATACTGAGCCATCGGAGATTACTGTCAGATTTTCGGATTATACGAGTGCTATCAAGAGTACGTGGTGATGACTAGTAGGATGGGATCATATGGCAATACATACCTACTGAAAGAAGGATCATGGGCTTATGCTTGTTGAATAATGATGTTTGTAGTGGATTGCATCGCGATTTTCAGATGTCAAGACGAATCCAAATCTTGAGAGCTTACGTGGATGTACTGGTCTTTACCAGTTACTAGTATCACCAGACCCTGTTGTAAGGTGTGTGGCTTTGAGATGTATCATCTTGCTGATGTCATTATTTACTCTTGTTGATTGAAATGTATATTGATGATAACTATCTTCTTGTTGTAGGGAATGGGCCAAACAAACAGTACAACACTTTGGCAAAATCCAGCTTAGTGGTGAGTATGAAAACGATCAGTATTTACTCGACGTTCTGGACGAGTGGATGTATATTCTTGAAAGTGAAGAATTCAATAAATCCGTACTATTGCTGGACTTTAAAACGACAAAAGACCTTCACCATGTGAGTGTCTTTGCCCAATATATATCATTTACTTCATGATATGTATCATCGACTTTATTGTAATATCTTAGTCGTGCTGTATGGTATTGACCCTCGTATCAACGTCATGTTTTTGTGAAACATGATAGTTTCTAGAGCCAACAAATTGTGTCAAGACCCCGACTAAGTCAATGCTGTGGTCTGCACTCGACCACATAATGCAGGTGATACATTCACCACTTGCATCGAACAATGTATTGGTGTGCAATCTTGACATATTTTTGGTCGTGGTGATGTGGCTAGCAAATGGACGTGAACAGCTTAGAAGTAATGCTAGATTCGTTTGACACGATCCCGGACGTAGCCTTCAATTATCTACAAGATGCAGATCCTGCAGGAGACCAGACACTTACATTGATGGTGCGTTGTCCTGACGCATCAGCATTTACTGAGCATTGGTATTGCGTTGCTCATATTGATGTTGAGTAGGTCTCTAAATGTTTTGCAGTTCTATTACGCTGTCTTGGACACCGATTTTGGAATCACAGCGTCAACTCCCCCAAAGTCGTGCTAGAAGTGGTAATGCAGCATTGCCGCCTCGGGACTTGGCGTGTCTATGTTACGAAACAGTTTGTTGAGCTTTTACCGCCACTACTGGCGGCCATGCGACCGCCTCAAATCTCTAGCCAAGTGGTACGTAAAATGTATTTACGTTCGATGAATGCGTAGTAAAGTAGCTGACGAGCCCCATTCAATTTCTGTAGTCCAACCACGAAAAGCTCGAGTTTTATTTGAAGACACGCAGAAAGATTCTGCAATTTTTGATCGCCGAGGATCTTCGCCCAGAGCATTACGACGCTGTTGCCATCGTAGCAGCATCAAGGGCGGTCTTTACTATCTTGATTGACTGTTACGAATACCGCATGCCCGGCACTATGAGAAGTAACCATGGAAGTGGACGCGATGAAGGCGCGCTATCTGACTCAATCTCTATCGACTATTCCGTTTCTGAAAGCGCCTTTTGGTGGCCGTGCAGTTTGGGGACTGGAGATATTGTTAACGAGCAATTGGGGAAACTATGGATCGATCATTTGTTTGGTATCGTTGTTAAGCCTAACAACGTTGAGTCACTGGTTGACTTGGCAGCAGAAACAACGGCTCTTATACTGAGCAAACACTTGCAACTTGCTCGAGATGTTGTATATTCTAGCATTGCTGCGAGCAATATGGGAGAGGCTGTATCGATCGAAACTGCTACTAAGGGAAGGCCGGTCATCACTGATTTGCTGAGAAAGTTATGTTCATGGAAGACGATCACAACGATACCGCTCCAAGTTCATGGAGCACTGTTTGAGTCCATTGGGGGCGTTTCGGAGCTGCTAAACAGTGTAGTCGCACAGCCCAACCGCAGTGACCAGCTTCAACAAATCACGACACTTTTACAAAATTATGAGGATCATACCCAGCAATATCTTGAGCGGATGTGTAATGAGGTATTGCTAAACGGCTTAGCTAATCCGTTCAGGTTCCCGGTGGTGTCTCAACATATTAGCGCTTGCTATCTCAGTCCAGCAAACACTGTCGATCAGGTGGTAAAAAGGTACTAGTATACATCGTGATACTTCAGGTGTATGTCTGGGATGGTAAATGTAATTGTTTGTATTTTGGTTTGTATGCATAGGTTGATCGGGCAATATGCCGTTGACAAGAAGAGACCCACACAAGTACCTTCTACATTGGAGGCTGTTCTCATTTCAGTTCACCGAAATGCTGAGGCCTTTTTACGTGGCCAGCTTTCCATGCTTCAGTCCATGCGCCTCTATGGCTTTGCTCCAGCTGTGTGTTTGCCTGCCATGAAAAAGCTGGCTTTTGTGTGGTCTCGTGTCTTCGATATGCTAAGCGGTGACCTGGAGAAAGCATTTAAAAAAGCGTCGAATGCGGATGCTATGGCCACATCATCACACGAGGTGTCAGATACCGGTATTGCAGCAGTACACTTGCTGAAGCTTCCCAATCTGATCAATGAGTTTCTGGTCGCTCTCTTAACAAATCTGTTTGCCCCGAAAACAAAATTATCGATTGAGGTAACTGAAACCACTCGAGTGCAATGTCTTGACTTTGGACTATCATTTTGGAAGTTTTGGATGGTAGTGTTGAGAGATCCAGGCGTGTCCAGCAAGCGTGTGGTAGGGCTGATAACTCCACTGGTTGAGTGTATAGCCAAGAGATCGGTGTCTGAGATCAAGCGGGCTGCTGAGCTGCTGATGACAGTGTTGAGTTGTCTTTTGAAAGGAAGCACTCGTCTAGACGAAGCCACACTTAGTCTGATCGACAGTATAAAAGGCGAAGCAGCATCAATTGAGTCGAAACAATCTACTGATTTTGGCCGCATGACCGAGAAGTTTCGTCAATTGGCCCAGACCTCTGAGTTTTTTACAAAGCGCTCAACAGGACCAAGTAGCGTGTCAAACTTTGTGGACATGACCACCTCTCGGTCAAATTCAAAGCTGCCACCGAGAGCTAAATCTTCTGCTCTTAGCTCTTCGATTAGGCCAGTAGGTAAGAAGTCTGCAGTTAGAGCTCAAGGTCGTGCATTGGTGGATCTAAGTGGTGCTGAAGAAGTATCTGCTGAAGCGGCAGCTCGAAGACATCATAGTTTTTACTCAGAAGAAGAGTACCACGCAAGTTCAGCGAAGGCGCCTTCTTCCAAGGGACAGCCATCCAAGACAAAGCCTTCCTTTGATATGTCACAAGTCATAAAAGGAATCGCACACTCGCATCCAGGCTCAAACAAGACGATTGCGTCCGAAAGATTAACGAAACAGGTTGACAAAGGTGCATTCGAACAGACGGAAGAGGAGAAGATAGAAGATACTGATCTACGCTTTGCTGCTCTTTTTCATCGGATTAAGACCACACAGAAGCCTATTGCAACTTGCTCGCTGCTCCCATTTTACCGACAATTGCTTCAAATTTGCATGCCGGTACTTTTGTCGCGTGAGTTCCAGAACGAACGGTCTGAAAAGAAGTTACAAGTTCCTGGTTTGAATTTCAAGAAAAACGCAGATTATGTCCGAGCGTTCCTGCCACTGATGCTAGAAGAATGTAACAACGAAGTTCAAGAGGGCCTCCGGAAATGTTCGCATGGTAACAGGGGCCATCTGCTTCGTTACGAGTCCGAAAAGCCGCGAGAAGGTATGCGCTGCATTAGCTTCAGCATTACTAAAAGAGACGAAGGGCTGATATCAAGCTCAAAGTTTGGCGGTAACGGGCGGCGAGGAGGAGGCTTTCATGAGAAGTTGTTCCGAAATGGTGATGTGGTGCTCTTGCAAATCTCAGTTGGCAACCAAGACCAAAGTGGTTTTATGGGTAAGCGGGAGTTTTTGGGTGTCATTTTGATCAGCGAGACGGAAAAGGGGCGTCGGCAAACATCGTTGATAAAAAATGATACGAAGGACGAAGATGAAGAAGCCGTAAAGGTGCTGTTCCTTAATGATGGCGAATTGGACAACGCGACAGCAAGCGTAAGCTCATTCTCGACTGAAGTATTGACAGCGAGTGCAATCGCCGATACGGAGTGGAAGGTAAACCCCCTATGTAATTTGGTAACGTCTGCGCGCGAGTATATCGCGCTTCGGTCCGTCGACATGCTCCCAGAACACTTGAGAACGGCTATTCTGACTCCAGAAACGTACAAATCTACGCAATCAAATCTTATTGCTATCACGTCAATAATAGATGACTTGCGATTGAGCAATTCAAACGAAAGTCGAGCAAGTATTGTGAAGATATTGAAACGCTTGAACAAGATGGACGTGATGTTGACAGATTTAAGGGTGAGACTCTATACACAGTAAGTTTGGCTACTGGCGAGGCACTCACTTTCGTTCTCTTTAGTCTACCAGTATAGGCAAAGCTGTGAACAAGCTGCGCAAGCACGAGGATGCAGAAGTCAAGGCCCTTTCTGGCAAACTGAAAGACAAGTGGACGAGTCTCATCGATGAGAAAGACACTCTAGAACGGGCGCCTCGCTTTCTATCGCCCGATCTGTGGGAAGCTATCAAGCTCCAGTACAATTCATCCCAGTTGCAGTCCATCCACAGCGTGCTTAACAACTACAACATGGGTGTATCTCTGCTTCAAGGACCCCCAGGAACAGGCAAGACAAAAACGATTATGGGTCTTCTGAGTGGACTGTTATCGTTGCGATTGCCAGCTACTGCAGTCATGCCTATGGTATACCCGAAAAGCAGCTCAAACGCTCAAGGGAACGGCACCAAGGAAGACTTCAACAATTTTGAGGCTGCAAGATGTCGTGGCACAAATACTGGGCATCGTGGACAACCATTAACTCAAGCTCCAGCATCGACGTTTTCATTAAATGGGGTTACATCCGCCCTCGGTAGTATTCTCCGTCGCACCACCGACTCTGCCATAGCTGGTCCAAGTCAAACTACAATTCAATCGCTGAAGAATGTTAGCTCGTCGCGCAGTCGATTAGAAAAAAAGCTGTCATCTCGTGCGACGCATCAACCAAATTCGAACCTGGTAGTAAAGCGCCGTGTTATATCAAGAGCAGCGTCAGAGCGCTCGGCAAGTCGAACAAATAACATACTGCTTTGCGCGCCATCCAACGGTGCTGTGAATGAGCTAGTGCTACGAATCGTGACGGACGGACTACTGGATAGTTCGGGGAGTGTTACGAAAGTTCGAGCGCCGAGTGTTCATCCTGAGGCACTGTCAGAAGAATGGATCTCCATTGTCCGCCTCGGAAACGCAGGTGAGGATGCATCTGACGCTGTTAATTCTGTTTGCTTGCCGCATATTATCCGGCGCGAAATGACCATTCATCCGAAAGCGATGGAATTGCACTCGCTCCAAGAAACGCAGCGACAATTACGCAGCTCTATTCGCGACTTTCACAACAAAGTAGACGACTCGGATGGACCCAAGAAGAACAGGAAGGCGCTAGCCAAGATGCATCAACAACTGACAGGATGCTCGGGTAAAATTAGACGCTTACGAGATGAAGTAACAGCAATTCGGGCGAAAATGACCGAAAGCATTTTGTCCAAGGCAAGTATTATTGCCTGCACATTGTCAAAGGCAGGAAGTGGTGATTTTTTGGGATTGAAGCATGGCTTTGACGCTCTCATAATTGATGAAGCGGCCCAGGCAGTGGAACTAAGTACGCTTGTTCCAATTCGGGAGCGAGTAGCTCGTGTTGTGCTGGTCGGTGATCCAAAACAGCTTCCTGCTACGGTGAAAAGCGTTGTCGCGGCGAAGGCACGGTACGATCGATCGTTGTTTGAACGTATAGCAGAAAGTGGTGTCGCGCCATCGATGCTTCGAGTCCAGTATCGAATGCATCCGTTTTTACGGGACTTTCCGTCAAAGAGATTCTACGGAGGAATGCTGACCGATGGACCCAGTGTTATGGAGCGTGTTCAAAAGGTGTGTACTGGCATATATGCGCGTACGAGTTTTCAACCTTTCTTGTTGTATGATGTTGAGAACTCGAGGGAGGAAGACATGAACGGGTCGAAGTACAATCGCGTTGAGGCAGCATTTTGCGTTAGTTTGTGTCAAAACATGTTTGAAACTTGCCCAGAGGTACGCAACAACAAATGGAGTGTTGGATTTGTGTCACCGTACAAGGAACAAGTACGCGTGCTTCGGCAAGAAATTACACGCTCTGGAATCCCAACAAACGTATCAATTGAAGTAAACACGGTAGATGGGTTTCAGGGCCGAGAAAAAGATGTGATTGTGTTTTCATGCGTCCGGTCGTCCGTGCATGGAGGTATTGGTTTCTTGCGCGATATTCGCCGTCTTAACGTGGCAATTACTCGTGCGCGGTTTTGCCTCTACGTTATTGGAAACGCGAAGACACTCGTGCGTGATGAAACGTGGGCTGCTTTAATCAAGAGCGCTCGTGATCGAAAGCTAATTATTCGAACAGAGGGAGAAGGATTTCCTGCTGTGGCAAAGAGGCTAACAGGAGACAATTACCGCGATTTAGCTAAGCACTACAAATTGATGCACGAGAAAGCGGCTCAAAAGTTAGCTCTGAAACCTACTGTAAATGCACCTGCTATGAGTGTAAAACCAAAGCTCGCTATGAAAAACAATGATGAATTGCAGTGTGCACCCAGCGACAAGGGCGAAGAAGCAAACGATGACAAGGTATTCGATAGTGGAAACCGACCATCTCTGAACTCCATCCAGCTTGAGCGTTCAAGCGGTCAAACTGAAACTTGTCATGAAATGGAACAGCATGTTGACAATCACAAACGATCCGCGAAGGAGACTTTGAATGCATCAAATGTGAAGAAGCCCCGCACATCTACAACAACACCGCCTATCAAAACGGCTTTGCAAAGTCAACAGGGGATCCGGAGCTGTGATGAACCGAGCAACTCGTTGACAGTCGATGTGCGTCAGCGTAGTGAGCATCGTTCTCTAGAAAGAACTACTAACTGGAGAAGGAATGAAGTTGCAAGCTCTTCGAGAATGGAAAGGCAACGCGAAGAGCCCAGCAAATTTTGCGGTTCTAGAGGTTCTATTGATAGAGAGCGGGGCGACAGAAGAAACGACAGCACGTACTCGCAGAATGACCGATACCGTCAGGATGATCGTCGTGACCGTGATGGTCGAAAGCAATACGCCACCGCCTCATCAAGAAGTGCATCTCGATCTTCATCCGCTTATTTTGTAGGCAAACCCCCGCCGTCCAATTTTAAAAAGGACCTTCGTCAAGTCAACGAGCCATCAACGACACAAGGCATGCGTTTGACAACCCCAAGGATGCGAGAACAAGGACCGTATCACGAATCGGCTTCCCGTCCTCCAGCACACCATAGCCATCGTAATTGTGCTTCGAATAAGTCAAAGACCAACACAAGTCATGGCAATGCTGGCAGGGCTCCAGCCAAGAGAAGCACAGACGTGCTAGGCAATATCCTTGGCAGTGCTTCCAAACTGGCAAAGTCAACGTCACGTGTGAATGACAAGACGACACCGCGCAGTTCGGAGTTTTCCTAGCGTCTATCGACCATACCATGTAAAATGAAGAAAGAGAGAGAATCATCGGCTTGTGATCTGGAATTTTAATGTTGAATGGTTGATTTTGTTGCGTGTTGTGTGTTGTTCCTAGAGAACTAAACGTGTTAATGCAGCACCCACCGCCATGATCGTACCGGCAAAACCAACTGCATACTGAAGCATTCGCTTTTCCACCTTTTCCATGGATAATCGTAACTCATTCAACGTCTCATCTTCCGCCTGCTTTTGCAATAGAAATTTCTTCTCAAGCTCGGCAATTTCCATTCGAATTTTATCAAAATCAATCTTTTCAAGCATTCGAATGTCTTGTTTTAACGTATTGAAATCACGTTCCAGTAGCTCACGTGAATGACGTTGTGCAATATCTACCCACAAAGTATTTTTAGTATGATATGATAAGACTGGCGGGTGAAAAAGAAAAACCCAGCAATAAAACCCACATACCGAATTTAAGTGTCGAGTTAAATACTCGTTCGGATAATTCGGCTTTAAGTTCGACATGTTCCGACTTTGTCGCGAGCTAAATAGGGTTACGTATGATTCGTCTCTTTAGTAGTACAGCCCAATATTGATATCAACCCAAAATAAGACTTACAATACGTGATTGCGCTTCTAATGAATCTGCCATCGCGTCTTTCATAACGTACAAAATAGCTTCGGATTGGGCAGTGGTAAAACCTAGCAATAATTAATATAATCAAAAAAGATTAATATATACAGTCGACAAACGTATAGAGATCAAGGTTATCTATCCTCCATCCATCCATCATCACCTTTATCTTGCAAACTTCTTACAACATGATGTGTGTCAAAATGCACTGGCATATTAGTATTACTACTACTATTACTACGACTGGTAAAGAATCGAATGCCAAGAGCTTGAATTGTTGAACGAACGATTGTCCGATCTTGATTTATTATGATACGCAACGAGTCAGTCATTCCATATTGTCTTTGTACCTTTGTGTCATGATGGGCAAAGTATTGAAGCACCCGCAATAGTGAGACGCCTTTTGTGCGAACGAGCATATTTGATTCTAAAGTGGCTCAGCTACTTGTCAATTTTGTAGAGTTTTCATTGGCTATTGAACGGTTGCGCAAACATGTCAAGAAGAGTACAAAACGTTTTTGCTGGTGTTACATAACAACATACAACACTAGCCTCTCATTTTGTTATTCTTCGTTTAAGTCTGTTACGCAACGGATATACTTCTGTTCCAATGCAAAATGGCTATACTAGTAACGTAGTGGCAGCCATGAGTAACAATAGCTTGATTTTACCCTTGCGTCTTGCATCTTTCCATCAATAATAGCTCAATGGTAGCTGGACACTTCCTGAAAGTGACCACCAGGGTTAAATTTGAGAAGAAAGTTGGGTGCCGCCTGTTCCAACTTGGTTGGCTCAACGTCCAACTCTCGCAAACCCGGCAGGTCGGACGTCTTCACCTCGTTCAGACTAAGACGCGTGGCCCAGTCACGTGTGAATTTGGGGTCCGGGAACTGCTCACAAAAGTATCCAATGGCCTGCGCCACGGAAAGTGGCAGGTTGATCAAACTCGGGTTACGCTTGGTAACGTCAAATACATAGTCAGCCAATTCTTTGTACGTAAACTCTTCGTCACCAACGAGCTCAAAAGTCTTGCCCTGAATAGTTTCATCCTGCGTAATGTGGTAAATTGCTTTAGCCACGTCGTTAACAAACACGGGTTGGACCACGGCGTCACCGTTGTCCACAACAGGCACGCCACCATAGTTAAGACGGTTGCCAATCCAGACTAACAACCGGTCTTCTGGACCAAACATATTGGACGGTCGCACAATGTTCACTTCCGGAAATGCCTTGCGAACAGCAACCTCGCCACGGAATTTTGACGCAGCCCATGCCGACGGAGAATTGGGCTGAGCCAGTAATGACGACACGTGCACCAAGCGAGACACACCTGCTTCCTTGGCCACCTCAGCAATGGTACGGGCAACATCCACGTGCACATCATCATATGTGTAATTGATCCACCATGGCAGAAAGTGCTTTGTCTGGTAGTGTTTTCCAATAAGATTAATGACAATATCCGAGCCCTGTACGGCTTCTAAGATCGTATCACGGTCACGCGGATGGAACGGCTGCTGTGCTACATTACCTAGATCCGCTGACACACGTAAATGTGAAACTTCCATTTCATCTCCACGATATGGAACCACGTATCCATTTCCATTCAAACCTGAGCAGAAATAGACAACATATGACAAAGAAAATAAAGATCAAGTGAGTGAAGATTAGGATCGACCACTGGACAACTGGATTAGAATGGTTCACGCACCTAGATGTGAACAGACGTAACGTCCAAGAAATCCTGTAGCTCCAAATACTGTAGCTGTAATACCATCACCACGTACACGTCCTATAGGGTGATGTAATGCTGCCTTAGCTACAGGGGAGAGCACCGACATGTTTGTATTGATGTGACGCTTTCAAGTATTGCTTCTTACAACCGCAAATTTAGTTCCGGTGGACCACGTACTTGAAAATACTGACTCAACCACACCATGTAAACATCAATTCACGTCCTCGTTCCGTACATGTGACACTATCATTAGCACACAATAATATTCTGGACGTAACACAGTTCAATTCATTCTGAGTCGAATCACTTGAGAATCAGAATATCATCTTGGAACAATATGAAACTTGTAGGCAAGAAGGAGCAGGCGTATGCGTCATTAGACATGGAATCACCTGATGCTACGTCCTCTTCTACATCCATGAGCTCCGAGTGCAGTATGGACTTTACTAACCATGTACGACAAGGCCATCACGATGAAAATGTACGACTCTTTCATACTAATGTGGCCAATGATATTTTGGCGGCACTGGACGGACCTGTGCGTCAACTTGCTTTTGAAACAAAAGGTGCATTATTAGCAACGGGGTGAGTCGATGATGGTGCAGTATTTTGTGAGACATTGAGTGCAGTGTGGTCTTTTATTTCTAATGATTTTTCTCTTCATTTTCGGACGGAATGATGAATGACAGACTAGCAGCAGTATGTTACTTGCTTTCGTGGTTCCAAGCTGTGCTAATTCCCTTCTTTCTTGCAATTTTTCTCATGTTCGTGTGCTTGTGCTTGTAAAATTGAAGTACAGTATAATGTGATCTAACGTATCGACATTTGTGTCGTTGTTTCCATTCATTTTCAGGTACCTTGTGGATCCGTTGGTGGAAATGATTGATGTTTCACCGAGATATTTTCTCTGTATTTGTACATCACGTGGGCGTCATGCGCGACGAATGTCGCATGGATGCTCACGTGCATTGGCATCGTTAGTAGCTGTTAGTTTAGTGTGTGTATTTTTTGGACTATTGGGCTACATTACTGTACTTTCGGTCCATGCACTGGATGCTAGTGCTTATCAGACAGGTTACAATCATCTTGTATCAGGAGTGGAGAATGTTCTTGGTCATATAGGACTACCGGTGAACATTACGACGACACTGCACGACAATGTTGACAAACTAGCGCGAGTGGTAGTCACCGAAACCATGGATTTGCTGTCTGTTATGTTTTTGACGCTTATCTATCTCACATACTTTCTCTGCACACGAACACGTGCTAGTGATGCTGGTGGCGTGTGGTCCAAGATCGACCACGACGTTCAACGATTTGTGACGTTAAAGTGTTTTCTTTCACTCTTTGTGGCCTTGTTGGTAACCACCGTATACGTTTGGCTAAATGTGGGTCTAGCTACTGTGTGGGGTATTTTGACGTTCATTTTGAATTGGATTCCGAATGTTGGAGCCATGATTGCGTCTCTTATACCAATTTGTATCATTGCCATCACGCCGTCCGATTTGATGAATCCTATGGAAAAGTTTTTGGCAATGTTTCTTCCAATGTGCTTTCACATGTTCGTGGGTAGCTTTGTGGAACCGAGGGTATTTGGTCGGAAATTGGAGATTGATCCTGTGATTGTGATTTTATCGCTTTCGGCATGGGGATTGCTGTGGGGAGTTGTGGGCATGATGTTGTCTGTGCCGCTGACTGCTGCAACGAAAATCACACTGAGCCATCTTAAACTATGGCCTGAGTTTGTGGCTTTGGTGGAAGGAACGTATTTTACACGATATGGTAACAAAAGCACTCGATCCAAGGAGGTTGACGACAAACAGGAATTTGAAACTATGGAAGTGCGGACTGAAAGTGAAAAGGATCATGCAAGTGGTAGTCTCTTACGGGTATAAACATAACATTTGTGAACGAAAACGTACTTGGTTTCAAGTTGACCGTATTCTCTTTTCTCCATCTCTTGTCTTGACGATGTTGGTATCAACATTATAAAACATCTTTTGGCTTGAACATGGGGGACCAATTCAGCAGCTTGATTCAGACGAGCCATTTTATCACGCGTAAACAAGAGTTGAAGTAACGACACTTTACATGACACTGAAGTAAGTAATCACCACACAATCTTGAAAATCATAAAGTGGTACAAAAGTTGGACGAGTGACAGTACCGTGTCGACTACATACACTTGAAAGTATATATTTGTCACCCTCCTAATTGTATTCTTAACAGTCAAAAGCATAATAAAGCTGCATATTGGATACTCTTACAAGGAGGCTCAAAAAGAATATCAGCTTCAAGGAGTTCCAAGTATCTAGTTTAGAAAAGCTGGGTTCTGAAGCAAAAAAACAGATGTTGAATGTCTGGCATGTGACATGCAAGAAGCACACAATGTGTGAGTTCAAATACCGGTATCAACACATCATTAAGTTTGCACAGAAAAATCCCTCTATCCCCCCTTGTCGTCAGTATTAATACCTTATTCTCACCTCCTCCTCTCTTCCGTATAATAAAGTCATATTTCATCTGAAACACTATCATCACTCATCATCTTTTATTTCCTACACCCTGTCTCCTGTTATGAGCAATTTATCTTCCGATGATTATTATGAAAACCTTGGTGTATCACGAACAGCAACTGCACAAGAGATCAAGACGGCGTAGGTTCTTTTTGTCGTTGTTTGTACTCTCTTAAGTAACATGACGGACTGACTCAAAAGAGTATTTGATATTTGTGTTTCTTAACGTTTGGATGTTGTAGCTACCGCAAACTTGCCGTCAAGTATCATCCAGATAAAAATCCATTGGACAAACTCACGGCCGAAGCTAATTTTAAGATTGTAGGCGAGGCTTACAATGTCTTGTCCAACGACGACACGCGCAAGATTTGTACGAATAGCGTTGCGGTTTCCATAGCAATGCATAAAGTGTGGGTCGAATGGTCTGGATGATTGTACTGATTTTTCTTATTTCTACTTGTAAATATGCTCATTCTTTTGCAGATGACATTTATGGCAAGGAGGGACTTGAGGACGGTGCACAGCCGATGACCAGAGAGCGTGCGATGGAAATATTTGAAGACTTTTTTCGCTATGGCGAAGCAATGGACCCAGAAGCCCCTGACCGGTCAAAAGGGTTCAAGCGTGCAGCAGGTGGGGCAGTGTATGCACCTGCCAAGGGCCTTCTTTACGGTGGCAAGTCGATTGTGGGCGGTGTGATCATGGGAACTGCCGCGATTGTGGCAGGAACTGGCGCCATGGTTGTTAACATGGCCTCGGGCATTAAAGAAATGGGTGAAGCTGGAGTCCATGCTGCTCGCAAGCGTAGGGATAGCAGGCAAGCTAGCGACAGTGAATTTGAAGTTCCTGTTGGTACGGGCGTGGACGGCTCTGCTGATAGTAATAAACTTGAGAGAGAATCAAATGGAGCAATCGAGGTCGCCAACCAGAAGCCTACTCCTACCTTTATGGGAGGATTGAAGAAGGCGACGATTGGCGCTGTTGCAGCTCCTGTCGCAGTACGTTTGTGTTTGATTAACTTTGTTTTTGCTTAAAATTAGTGATTGACCAACACCTTGTGTTATGGCGGTTTACAGGCGATCGTGACTGGAAGTGGTGTGCTGCTCGCAAGCGGTGTCGCGGCCGGTGGCTACGTGGTCGGCGGTTTTGCTGGTGCGGCGACGAACGTTGCGAGTGGGGTACGTGAGGTGAAGGCTGCAAATAAGATGGAGAGGAAGCGACGTGCTTCTAGTGCTGCAAGCACCCGCGATTCCTCAGCTTCCACAAAGAGCTCACCGGCGTCGACTGCATCCTCGGCAAAAGCGGTACCTACGGCAGACGAAGTATCGGAAGCAGCCCAGACCGCGTAGAGGAAGATTTTGATATGACGTTTGCGGTGATCCTCAATTCGTCATGTGTAAGAGGTAATTCCATAACCATACCAATACTCATTTTTCATTTCGTTCGTGCGTTTAATCAAGCTCCTCATCTAGATAATCGAGGCTAAGCACGCGTCAAGCCCTGGCCTCCGATTGCACTAGTAAAGCACTCGTACCCCTTTGCTTCCAACTCTGTAACAAGCTTGGCCAAGTCTTTACTGCTTAAACTTCGCGGCAAAAGAGAGATCGTGCAGCCACCGCCACCTGCACCAGTCAACTTTGTAGCTCCATTAAATTGCTTACATATACGCACCACTTCGTCAATTCGCTGATGGCCAACACCAAGACCGTTCAGGATTTTCTGGTTGTATGCAATTTCTTGACCTAGGACTTCCTCAGACAGCACCTTACGCTCACTGAGTGCAATAAATTTCTCCACCAGCTGCTGGATGTCGTCAAACTGCTTCTGCACCTTTTCACGATCAGCTTCGTATCGCTTCCTGACAATGTCAACTTGCTCTTTTGTGGAACGGGGGACGCATGTATTGACTATGAGGAACCGGAACTTGTCCAGCTGACACTGAATGCGACAAAAAGAGGGTTCTGAGTGCTTCTGGAAAATCAAGGTGCCACCAAAGCATGACACCGTATTGTCAGCACCTGAAGGCAAACCGTGCAATATTACTTCGGCACCGAAAGCGTACGCATTGATGAACTCTAGCTCGTGCTTACGAGGGCTGTCAGAGAGCTCTGCAAATGCTCCCGCAAGAGCCACAGACATCGCGGCCGATGAGCCTAGTCCTGCACCAATAGGCAAGTTGCATGTTGCGACTTTTACAAGAAGTCCCCCTTTAGAACTGTGATAAAGTTGTCATCAAAACCAAGAGTATATTGCATAAGAACGCATTCACGAGTAAAAATGTATCAAAGAAGACAATTTTACCCGCTCAGAAAACCAGACGTACGTAGCAAAGCACAGCACAAGAAAAGCGGAGCTCTTATTGCTTTGGCATCTTCAGGTGTCTCACCATCCAGCACGTTCTCAATGCGCTTCATCACCTCTTGCATCGGGGTTGGCACATAGTAAATATCATCCTCGAGTCCATCCACTATCTTTTGCAGCTCAAGAGTCGTATACACACATCTTAGTGGCTGTTTATCGCGCGTGGACTGAATATCCTTGCAAAAAAACTCAACGGTTGGTGTGATGGCTGTAGGCATTTGAATGCGAGTCTGCAAGAAAGTATCAATATTAAATATCAGAGCAAACATCTTCGGAAACATGACTATGCATTTCTTACAGTACACTCACAATCTCTACATTGATACGTAAATCCGACAGCGCCACCGCCACCACGGGACAGCCGTAGACTACGGCGTGCTCACCGAGCAGCAGGAGCTTTCCGGGCGCTGACACCCGCACGACATGGCTGTTTCCTGCCATTATGGATTTGCGGCTACCATAACTTTGGTACACTGTACCATCTCGTAGTATTCTTGAGTCTTTCGCCATTGGTTTTTACGAGCTTCTCTTTGGAAGGAGGTATTTACGGGTTCGACGCGAGCTTGTTGAAGTAAAAGACATTCACTCCTTCTTTTTATTCCGCACTGAATGCGCACTAATCTAGTCACAATGTTGTATGTGATACGAAATAGACTTGATACGCGTATTGGATGAAAGCGGAGGCAAGAGTAATGCCGATGAACGTAGTGGAGGAGATAGATGATGCGATGAGCTTGGGAAAAGTCTCGACTCTGACTTCGGCTATGGAACAAGTGGACGTAACGACAGGTGAAGCACTTTTTGATCTATCGAGTTACACGGGTGGAGCGCCGCTGATGCCAACAAGAGATAACGGTACAGGAAACGTGGTGACTGGTAGTCCTTCTGCAACGGTTGAAATGTTTGATCAAGACATAGGCAGCACACAGCACCTCGTAGACAAATATTTGGATGGAGATGACAAAAAAATGGGACGGCCAAGTCATCCAGCATGGCGATACTTTGTACGTGGCGAGAAACGCAATCGTTTTCATTATAATGCATACTGCAGATTATGCAGCGAGAATGGAATTGAACCTGTTCCTGTCAGAGGTGTGTCAGGCAATATGATCCGACATTTGCAAAAATGTAGTTATTGTCCTGATGAGGTAGTGACGCAGTTAAAGCTACTTTGTGCACAGAAAGATGCAGCAAATTTCAACAAGCGGCATCAGTCGCACAATCCTAGCGTTGATATGCTGCTGCAGGAAACGTCTTTAGCTCCGAAGAAGAAGACACGAAGAAGTCAAGATCCAGACAGCGCTGCCGTTCTACCGAGCACAGCTGGAGAAAAAGACAGTGGTGCACAGGACAAGGTTCAAGTGGAAGATTGTAGACCACTACAGCTTTCGTCATTATCTTCCGAGAGAAACATCGGGCTTTCTAGTATGTCGTCATCCAAACCGCTGGTCTACGAGCAAAACCTTTCAGCATCAAATAAACCAGGTAAGCTGGACAAGCCTGGATCTCGTAGTACTACTAAGACACACGGCAAATTGTGTGCTCCACAATTGCACAGGCCAAGTGGACTGCGTATGAACCAATCTGTAACCAGTGGTATCGATGCAGATGCTTTGAGCAAGTTGGTAATGTCATCGTCACTGTCAACGGGACTACCATGGGATTGGATTTGGACGGAACAGGCTGCACTGCTGTTTGGACACGCGCATTCCAAGATAGAGCTGCCAAGTGCTGAGCGGCTTACGTCAATGGGAGCTATGTCTCATGAAAAACAGATTATGAAGATGAAAGATGAGCAAATTGGAATTACGCTGGCTGTAAACTGGTGGGTGGCCAAGTATCCAAGATCAAGTTTTGTTCTGATCTCCCTCGTAAATGCTCTTGGTGAAGCAGCAACCTGGGAGCTCTATGACACTGGAATTGAAGACAGTGCACTAGAATCTCTTGCTGAAAAAATTAGGATCAGCTTGACTGATTTGCGGGGAAGAGGAATTCATGTAATTAATATTGTTGCGGAACCCGCTCTGGCATATGCAGCTGCTCGTCTTGCCGTCGCTTCTAGTGAGTGGACAAGTTTGTCTATCCCGGTGCTGCCATGCTTTTCACATTTGCTGCAAGTGCTACTTGGTGTCGTCATGACTGAGTCAAACAAATCAGTGAGAACCATTGGTGAAGTGATCGAGATCATAAGAATTTTCTCAAATCATCGTGTGCTTAGGGTGCTGCGGCGTGAGTGTGGTGATCCAGATGTAATGCTGCATGCGCCAACACGGTTGAACTGGTATTCCTTTATTGAAGCTGTTGATTCCGTCCGACAATATGAAGATATGATCAAAATTATAGCGTCTAAGGTTGCTCAAGCTTCGTCAGACCCTAGAGATTTGGCAGGCCGATCATTGCGCCGATCATTGACCGGTAATTTACGCAAAGATAGTGTGGGAAACACTGTCGATGAGCTGATAGAGTGTGGCCTATCAAGTCGCGTAATACGGACAATCCTGAATCCTGAGTTTTGGGAAAACGTAATGGCATTGAGCGAGCTAATGTCACCACTGAAGGAGACATACGAAATAATGAGCAGTGCTTTCACGATGTCTTTTTCATTGTCGGATGTTTTTTACCAACTCGGAAGAATGCAGCAGCAATACAGAATTATTTTGACTGACCGCGAGGACACTGCGGGTGGGCGACGATCTGTTGAGCAAGTTCGCTTTTTGCTGCAGAAAATTAATGATATGTGGAAGCTGTATGATCAGCAACTTATGGTGCTGGGATATACGTTTAACTACAATCTTCAGCACCCACTTTTTGCTCGCCATCAACCATCGCTCCAATGGCTTTCGATTGGAAAGTATGCAAAACAATATTTTCGGGAGTGGTTTTGCGCGGCATCATTAATACGGAATCCTTCGCGTTTGCTGGCTTTGAGTGATGAAGCTATTGCACAATTTATGGAAGACATCTTGGCATTCAAAGAACGTAAGTATCCGTTTGACTCGGGATCCATGTGTGACTTTGATAACCCCAGGCTTTTTTACATGTTGGTGTCCGACTCACGTCCATTGATGCACATGTTCGGGTCTCGGCTGTTTAGCTTTATGACAAGTACCCCACCTCTGAGCAATGTGGTTCCTCGAAAGTGCTTTATCCCTTCTGCATCTTCAGCGACGTGTCCTCAGCAAACTTTGTTGCCGCTACTGAGAATGAAGTTGTTTGCTCAAACGGCATTGCGACCGTCGAAGGATATGCTTGGGTTCCTTCAAAGCAACAGACCTAAGGGTTGTATGGCAAATAGAATTATTAGCGGCGATATGCGTGAGCCGATGTCAGAAGCTGATATAGCAACTTCACCGATCCTTCCGAGCTTCAGTACCGATGGACGGGTTGACGTAGGTGAAGCTGACGAAACACTTGATAGGATATGGAGTGAAAGGGAATGGACGGCGATGGCTAAAGATTGGAAAACGCATTGGGAAAAAGAGACCGATGCAAGCAGTCTACTTCAAACCCCAGGAGTGCTCGATGCTTCCACACCCAGCTTGGCTCTCGACCAGATTTTTAAGGAAAAGTTGCCTTCCCGCCTTCGGCACGACCAAGAAGATGCTGCCGTGGATGTGTGATGCTCTGTATAGAATTAATTGGCGGCTAACACCGAGGTAGAGCTGATGTCGGTGGAAAGAAGTGCAATTTTGCTATATTTGCAGTTGTTGAAGTCTCGTTATTTGACAGCCAAATCTTGAACCGATCGAACCGTAGCGTCGTGAAGATACTCTTGATGTTTCGCAATGAAATGCAGTATGCATTGAGATCTCAATGCGCTTCGCACAATATCTAGCCAAAGAGTTCGTGCTTGTACGGGACAAGAGGATAAGTCAGCGATGTCACTGAGCGAGATGCTAGTCCCAGAACGCAAGTTGATCAGCGGACAACAGCCCAGGGAACTAATGTACCACTGAACACTGCAGAGCGTCGACATTGACATGATGCCAAAGAGAAGGTACCAAAACGCTAACTGCTTTCACCCGTCGTCCATAAACTGACAATCGTGACAATTTTGGTAAGCTTCAAACAGTGTCAAAGCGTATCGGCGCTCTTTTCGCTAACGGTCCTTGATTTCCATAGCCCCGGATCCGTCTGGAAGCAAGGTTTCATTTTATTTGAAATCACCGTCAAGCTCAATACCGTAATGTCAAGGAACCCTTATCCCTGACAGCGACGATTACACCAGTAAAGCTTTCCACAGGCTAGACTGGACCGAAAATAGTAGTATTGTTTCAGAAAGTGAACAGTTGAAGACGCAGATGCGCTTCATTTTCAAGCGACGATCTTTGGTGACTTTTTGTACTTTGTCTTAAACGTTACGCTGATCACTGACGATGCTTATTGTATCAAAGGGTTAGCAAGACGCAACGACTCACGCCAATGAAAATCACTCCAACTGTACTTGTGCTTACTTTTTCTTGTTTCGTTATCATCCTACCAAAATGCAACTCTGCTGCGTCGTAGTATGCAGCTTCATCAACGTCGCCCGATTAGTGCCCAGCATAGCCGTCTCCACTCTTCGATGCGATGTTAGCAATGCGGCGTTCAATACGCTCTTGTTGAGCCCGACGTGCTAGCTCAATCGCTTTATTGATCAGTGTGGACGACTGGCGGTGCGTATGTGCTAATTTTTCAGCCGTTCGAGGCGATACAGGAGGCGTGCCATCAAGTCTGTCGTAATCCTCAATTTCCGGTTGACGAGCTATTGACACGACAGTCCCCCCCACTCTTTTTGCCAGCAGCTTCGAAACCTCCATCATTTCTATCCCTGCCGAAACTTTTCTTCATTGGATACACCACAGCCTCCTTGTCCACCAAACCCGTAGTCTCCTCGTCCGATTCGACTCTTTCTTCTTCTTCCTCTTCGTACAAGAACTCACTCTCGTCAATCTTCTTCATCACAGAGTGACTATCTGATCCAGCAGCCAGTGCATTGTACTTCCGATGCAGTCGCTGGAACAGCAGCTCCTCATTAAGTTCATATTTCTCGACAAGTTCATCCACTTGGCGCAACTTCTCGGAATTGTGCTTCGTGTAAAATGCTACCAGCCGCTTCCTACACAACACATAAGATCAAACATTATAACAATATATCCTTCTTCAACCTTTCATTCAGCCATCAACATCTCCTACCGGAAACGAGCTCTGTCATCGCTTTTGCCTCCAAACAAAAGTATACTCACTATAACCCCAAAGCACGTCACGGCGCCCGTTAAGAACATCTTCTTCTCCTCTTCTACACTCAATCCTATCATTGAGTCATCAAACATTTGTAGACCCCATAGAATAAGCTGCAGCGCTGCTACAACGACCACCACATACAACCAAGAAGGTCGGAAACTGGCCAAGCCGTAGCTCAGCAGCGTCAGCAGACCACGCAAAACACGCGCCATCACTTGAGCATCTGCGGTGTCTAATTCTAATTCGATAAATGGCTGAAGTAGTACCTGTGGCTGCACATAGCACGCAACCGCCGCTGCCAATACAGCCATCTTGAACCCTGTCCTTAACATGTGCATTGATCGATTGGATAATGAAGTGAGAGATTATTCGTCAACATCTGATTGAAGCTACATGTATTATTGACCAATCAGAGATGTGTACACCCTCCCCCATAATTGCGGATGGGGTTAAAGTCCAATAATGACTCGCTTACGGCAAGTGATGGTGCTCAGTCGCGATCTCGCGCGTTCCAAGCAGTTTTTTCAGGAAGGATTGGGTCTAAAACTCCTTCGCTCGTCAGATACGTTTGCAGAGTTTGATATACAGGCAGGTGTACCATTATGCATCAAGCTGGCGCAGAGGTTAGTGCACGAATTGAAAGTGACGAAATATGAGGGAAAACGGAAGAATGATGATAAAATGCGACTATAGTGAAGCTGCTTGTTGTAGTGGCTATTCACCATTTTTAAACTTTGATATCCGAGACTTAAGTGATGCTGTACCGAAGCTGCTGATGCTAGGGGCAACTATGGATGGTCCCATTAAATACCCAGCCCATGGAAAGGTAGACATGGCAGTTGAAAACTTGTAGATAGGACAGTACTGATGGATTTTGGGTGTTGGTTTGGATTGTTGCTGTAGGTCGCAGCTTTACGATCACCAGATGGTGTTATGATTGGTCTGTACGAACCCAACTCGTGGGAGAACGTAACTGCAGCATGATAAAAGAATACATGCATACGACTAATAGTAGTTCGTATACGCTGTATTTATGATACATTTCTCACGATATTACTTAGTATTTCAGGTTTATTCGATTTCGATAGTTGATGTAAGCTTCTTCTTTGTCAAACATGACAAACCAATCCATACAAAACATCCAATAAAACCATCATTCCGATATTCCTCCTTTATCGGTCGTCCCAATCTGATAACAAATCAATTGACATTCTTGATCCATGGGGAATACAGTGAGCTGGTTCGCCCAATGCTTCTATCCAAAAGACCAAGTGTTCTGGGCTGCTGCATATTACGGTGATGCACAGACAATTCGAATGGCGATATCACGTCTCACACCCGAAACGCGCAAGTATCTTGAATGGCGTGAACCGTCTACTGGTCGAACCCCACTCTTGGAAGCTGCAGCCAGAGGTCATTGTAAATGTGCGCAGTATTTGATTGAGGCAGGAGCTGATTGCAATGCAAAGGACTTGAGAATGAATACACCGCTGCATCTTGCATGTAAATGCGCTCAGCTAGAAATGGTCAAGTTTCTGCTGCAGGTGCGAGCGGTAAACCCGTTTGAAATCAATCAGAGCATGAAGACGCCGTTGGACTTGACTAGAAGCAGGTTTGTGCAAGAGGAGGAAGAAGAAAAGGCTCATTTATATGCCGAGTGTATAAAACTTCTTGAAACGGTACGAGCTTGGAATTTGTGTGTCTTTTTACTGTCGTTGTTGAAGCTGTGAAGCTGTAATTTGCTAACGACGTAAACTCTTTTGCTTGTATTGGTTGGTATGATTGCATGATACAGAAAACTTGTTTATATACTGGCTGGCTGTACAAAAAGACCGACAACGTGCTGTCTTTCGTATCGGGCATTTCGTCGCTCAATTCATGGACGAGACGCTTTTGCATGGTGTTGGAGCGTGGAGATCCAACCGTACTCGAGCTGGCACTCTTTCGCATGAAAGACGATAATGGGGTGCGTCCTGTGTGCCCAAAGATTGTGATGCTATATAATGTTGCAGCTGGAATGGAGGTGGCCAGCGATCCTAGATGGTTCAGTCCGAAGGACTTTACTTTTCTTGTGCGAGGCGACCAACTAAACAAGTGTCACTATCGAGCAAGCTCAACACTTCAAAATCCCGTGTACTTTGCTGCAATCGACCAGGCAAGTTTTAATGCGTGGAAAGTCTTCTTTGCCTATCAAAAGCAGCGGCTGGCTGATCGGCGCCACATGGCTGGTACTAGACACGACAACAGTGCGGGTTTGAATCCTCGGTCTATGACACCTGCCTCATCTCTGGTGACCCTTTCTTCAGCAATAGGTTTGAGAGAGGAAGAAGGCATTTGCAGAGCCATCCGACCTGCTGCTCAATTACGAGACGAGATTAGATTATTAACTGACACGGCTCTCTTGCCACCACCCTTGCCAGTTTCAGCTCCTGATTGGGATGATCAGGAGGAAGTCGAATCTATTGAAAATGTAGCAGAAACAACAGAACGCCGCAGTGACTTGGAAGCATCATGTGAGCAAAATTTGCCGGTGGTTCACGACGGACAAGCACCAGCACAGTCTTTAATTGGCGAGTGTGCAATATGCTTTGATGGGCCCCAATCTGCTGTATGTGTGCCGTGTGGCCACAATGCTGTCTGCATGAAGTGCGCGGAAGCAATACAAAACTCCACCGCTGAATGCCCAGTATGCCGAGCGCCTGTGAGCACGTTCATCAAGTTGTACCGTGTTTGACCTGAACAATAATTGAAACGAAGCAAGTGAACCATAGCAGCGTGTACTGTAAAACATATATTACTTGACGTTGTCTTAAACCTCTGCGATCGCACTTCAACTTCACACACGATAAAGGCGAATCACCTCCCTCACTTGTTGTCGGCACACAGGACAGAGACCGGTACTGTCGAGTAGCTCCTGCGCACAATCCATGCAAACAGCATTGTGGCCACAAGGAACGCAGACCGCCTCTTGTGACCCATCAAAGCAAATGACGCACTCGTCCGAGCGTTCCGATACTACGTTGGGTCCGGCAATCCTCTTCACTCGTTGGGTCAAAGTGGTTCGAGATGCTGCATTATGCGCAACCGCTGATTCATCGTCTCGAAGAAGTTGCACAATCTCCACCCCATCAGGGCCCACGACCGTTTCAGAATAACCCAGTGTTTCGAGCAATGTGTCGGAAGGAGGTGGGGCAGATGGGTCCGAACGGGTTCTAGAGTGCTGCCGAGCTTCTTCAAGCGACAATCGCAAAGCTCGTTCCAAATCGCGTTGCTCCTGCAGTATTGCAGCCTGAGTAGGTCGAGCGCAGTTTGTATCAGGCTGAGATAAGAGAGCGCGGCTGGCGCTACCTTCAAGTGTGGTAGTTGTTGGTGGTGGATTGACCTGCCATAAATTTGATACGTAAGTATCCACCAGAGAACAATCTACGGCCAAACTAGTAGTATTACCTGCAAGGTCGTGAGGAACGTTTTCCACGCAATGAGTTCATTTTGACTTGTGGCAGCAAAATCCATCGATTGGACAGAAGACACACAACCAGAGTCAAACTTCCTTGACACTTTTAAAGAGAACCGAAAGTTCTTTCGATTGAGCCAAGTATCGTCATCGCTCTGCTGGATTCCGTCACTTGTCTTGTATATAAGCTCCAAACTAGACAAAACAAGGGGTAAGAAAATACCAACGCCGATACCATCTCTTTCAATATTTCAACAAAGTAAAATCAAACCTCGGAACTGGCGGGCGTCGCTCACCAGGCTTCAACGAAAACAAATCAATCTCAACAACATCGTTTGCAGCAGTCCGCAACACCACCACATACCTTTACAAAGATAGCACTCAGATCACAAACTAAAGCGTTTCATTGCAATTCAAGCAAAAACACTCACCTCTTTTTCCACGAATTCAAGCCTGAAATACCCGAAGCAATCGACAAAAAGTTGTCAGATCGTTCAAATAACCAACCTGAATGGATACAAAGTTTCTATATAGTTTTCATATACACAAAACACGCACACAACGTCATCAGATCATTAGCCCACAGCCTAAAATCTCCATTAAATCTTCTCTTACCTTTTCAATATATTCCATACACTGAATAAACTTGACTCCTCGTGTCTCTGATAATTTATATTCCTGGCGTGCAATGTCCAGTGCTGTCTGTGATTTGGTCGTCGTCTTGGCAAAATAATCCACTTCCACTGACTCGAGTAACATTCGCACAACCTCGCTCTTCCCATAAGACGTAGCAATATGTAGTGGTGTATTTCCCTGTACATCTCGCGCGTTACAGTCCACACCGTACGTAAGAAGTGCCTTCACACATTGTAAATGGCCTTGTGAACAGGCATTAGCCAATGGCGAGTAGCCGTATACGGGATCTCGCCACTCTGCATAGAAACGCGTTGCAGGCGTTAAACGTGACAGTCCTTCACGTAATGTGACCAAGTCACCACTCTTGGCTGCGACCCATAGTGTTTGCTCTTCTGGGCATAAGGATTGAGCTAACCAACTTGTAGCATTCCCCATTGTTTTCAATACAATATGTTTTTATAGAGATAGAGATAGAGAGAGGTAGAGAGAGGTAGAGAAGTAGAGAGATATTGAACTGACTGACTGAATGAATGATTGGCAACTGACTGATTACAGTCGAGATTTCGCTTCTCGAGGTCCGATTCTATCGGATTTGAAAGGTGTTGGCAACCCACACAGGAATGATTGTAAGCAAAATCCAGGAATAGGCATTAGCTGTCTCGAGTTATAAACACCTCATTACAATTGGATTGTTTCGTCTTCTTCACATCTTCCATGACGATTGAAGTGCCTTGTATAACCACAAACTGTAGATTTGGGCATTTGATGCTCAATGTGCTTTCAGTTAATTGACTGCAGCCTCGGAGATTTAATTGTTGTAGTGATCGTGAACGGATAGATAAATGGGTAAGACTCTTGAGGAACGATAGATCCAGGCTCACCATACAATCGACATCTAGTAGCAAGTACAGCAAGTTGTCATTGCACGAAAGATTGAGATTTTGTAGCAGCTTGGATGTCACATGGACCCGCGTGAGCTTTGCGCAGCTACTGAGGTCAAGTTGCCGCAGAGATGGAAGATCTTTTGGGTTCATCACTACCTGTTCAAGCTGCGAACAGCCAGCAAGGATCAGTTTTTCTAGTACTGGAGACTTTAGGAGCGTAACCTTGATCAAGTGTCGCGCTTGTGTAAAGTATTGTGAGGATAATGTCAAAGTTTTGAGCCGAGGTAAGCTCGTGTTGGTATGAAATGTAGTCACGGGACAATGCCAGATGACTAGTGTCTCGAGATTTGGGGCGACAATAGCTGGTTCTTTCACCTGATAGCATTCACGAATGACAACCGTTGTGAGCTCCTCAGCTAAGAGATGTAGATTGAATCCGCTGATGCAAGTCACTCTGATAAGTATTAGTTCTCGCAATTTCCAGGATTTGTCCAGCCATGGCACGAGTGATTCAATCGTCGGTAATTCCTCTAGCAGCGCATCGTGTACTCGCAGACACCACACGTGCGGGAAGACCGTGAACAAATGTTTGATTGACTTTGAGCTGCTGACATGGCTAACTGTGAGCTCCCATGTGTTTTGTGGAATTGCAGTGTAAATGGTTCGACAGAGACTACGCATTAAACGCAGTTCAAAGCTAGTGAGCCACGATGTTAAGTGGCTCAATACATCAGGAGATTCAAGTGACATGATGTTTTGTCACAAATGGTAAAACGACGACTACTCGTTATTTCATAATAATTTGATTTTTATGTAGTTTTTTCAGAAAAGTCGTCAAAAAATGTAAAAACACGCGATCGTAGTGACCTCTAGCGTCTGTAGGATAATTTATAGGAGGAATTATTACCACACGACACGACGCGATTGTTATTTTGCTATATGCTCCATATCGCTCATCCTGAAATCCAACATTATGTCGGAGATGCCCATAAATCAGCTTCTGTAATTTCCTTTTCACGCATAAAATAAGTATCTTGCACCAAAAAATCTTCCTCGGTCGTCAACCTTTCGATCATAGACTGCTATAGATTGATTCCCTTTCGCTACTCCATCAGTCTTGGTAGCGATAGTAAGATTTGGCATGAGAAGTAATACACATCTGATACAAACTAATGCGCTGGTTAAGAACATCACTCAGTCATTGTAATAGTGTTGACACACAGTGACTATTACATTTAACAATAGCCAAGATTAAGGATTACTAGATCTTAGATCCTTGAGCTGCGCTGCTACAAAATTGTAGCACGGTAATCTGGATGAGTGCAGCGGCCTTCACAGCGAATGCTCAGCAAGCACGCCCTGCATACAGCAATGCATACGGTTTTATTGAATTATAGGAGTGTTTCCAGCCGTGCATTCCGTGTTTGTCTTTTATATGTCTTACAATGCCATTGTGGGCAGGTTGCAGCAGACTTCGTTTGCGGAGTTACAAAATGACTTAGCTCGGGTGTACACTTGCTTGGCATATGACCATCTGTCTCTTGACTTGAGTTGCTTGCTTGCAGCCGTACTTTTATTAGTAGCGCAACGGAGCGGTACCACATGTTAATTGCGTGCTTCGATCAAAAGTCGATGTTACGCAGCAATTAATGAAGGTTTTTATAACCTTACAAAGATAAAACTTAGTAATAAGATGCAGTAAACCTGTTATTCCGGTGGCTACAAGTAGTTCTGGACCAAGCATAAGTCGCTTCGACCACGGACTTGTCTATCCACACGGAAGTCAAGTTTTACGCAAGAACTAAAACAATAATATAGTCATTCTTACTTTAGTCATGTAGAAGGATAATGTGATCGAATTGCTGGAAAACTCTTTTAAGCCCATGATTGAGAGGGTTGCACCACCTGTTTTTGATTGTCTCATCTCTCTTGTTCGACACAAACGTTTGATTGCAGGAAGAATGGCATACCGTCTAGCAGTTGAGAAATGAATAGGACGGCTTTTTTAAATATTGAATAGGCAATGGAAGCAACAAAAGATAATACTTCGATTGTCTCACCGTCAATAACTCGTTCTGGAGCAAGTAATTAATACACACGTAAAACAATGCCTGCAACGTTTTCTGTCTAATCTTTATCTAAAGCTTCTTCGTCGCTTAACACGAAACTTTGATTCTGTATACAATGAACATACAATCAGATGATTCTATTTTATCGTCTAAGAAGTAACCTAGACCTTATATCTATACAGAGATTACGACGCTCTACTTTATACATCAAATGAAACCCTTCTCACGAAAACGTACGACAACAACCGCACGCAATAGAAAGCACACTTAAACAATGATTTAGAATATGCATGAAAAAACTGTCGTTGTCGTATGGTGATCATTCGCAGACGATCAAAATCGTTGTGTGTTGGTTGCAAAACACCCTTGCTGCCTGCCACAACGACAGATGATGGAATGTGAATAAAGAAATGACCAGTAACTTTCGAACAAGATTGCAACGTTGTCAGCGGACAGTATGGGATGTGTTGCATACGTCCTTCTGCTACCTTTGAAATTCATGTCACTTGCTTTTCTTCGACATCTTAAGACAGGTGATAGACCATGGTCGACCTTGAATGACCCGAGGTCTGCATTTTTTTTGAGAGCCTTAGGTCTACCGAGGAAGGTTCATGGTCTGCCATCCAAGGACCCCGGCTTTCGCTACAAGTCCTCATGACTTTGCATCTTTTGAAGTGGTTTTTCCTTGTCTTTTTACACTCAAAATTTCGATGTAAGGCCCCGCAATTCAAATACATCTCATCCACCCACGAAAGGTCTGCATGTCCTTTCCAACAAACAAGGAGCTTCCGTTGCTGTCTCCCATATCGTGTCTTCTTTTTTTCTTTTCACTGCGGCTTTCCAAAATCCCTTCGACCTCGCAATTACCCTCTTCAAGCTCTCTTTATCAACTATAATCTGGCAACAGTCGTTCATCAACGTCGACCCGGTCTGTTTCGTCCATTTCCAGCAGGGTACTTGGGCGGTCAGGAAACTCTCTAACTTTGTTGAGCTCTGGAAATATGTACGATCGAGAAATAACCTGTACTTTGTGCCTCGAGTTTCTAAACGTGCCGCGTACTCACCGACCAATTCCAGAACTCGAAAAGGTTTATGTCAAAGGTGGGCCAGCATCTTGGCGTACCCTTTTTTTTTCACATGGTCCAGATAAAGCCATACTTGGGTCCCTGGCTAAATTTTGTGGTCGACCACTCCTTCGTTGTGTGCTAGTTCCCAATCTCGATTGACCGCTCGTAAATTTTCATTCACCTGGGCTCTCGCTCGCTGATAATGTCGCTGAATGTGGTACCTCCATCGTTGAGGTCGAGATTCGCGACGTTGAGTTTATACTACCGGTGATGTAGCTTCGAGGATGGTTCTAGCATACCAATCATAGACCAGATAAAATGGTGTCTCCTTCCGCACTCGCCTTGCGCAGTGTTCATCACAAAATGACAGTAACTTGATGAAGTCGTAACAAGGTAGTCGTAGGGAAACATGTGTCTGGAAGAGATCTTTCAAACATTCTTAAATTAATCTAAAAATTATGCATAAAATAGTTTGATTGGTAAAATCATAGTCTCCAAAATTATTGTTATAGATTCAAGTCCCACTTTTCCTGTTTGTTTTATGTTAAAAATTAAAATGTTATAAATCAAAAAAATTATAAAATCTGAAATTAATTAAATTCAAGTTATAACAATAAAAGTTTATTTAGAATACTTTTTAGTAAAAGGAAATTAAAATTAGACTTATAATATTTTATTCAGTCAAATTAATATTTATATATCTAAGTTTAAAAATATTATTTATTTAGAATTTTTTGGAGATTTTAACCTACGTAGAAATTAATTTAACAAATTTACAGTCTGCCGCTTTTAACCTCTCAGCCATTTCTCCTTTAGATTGTTAATTATATTGTGATTAGTGGGACTTGAACCCACAAGATTCTTGCAGCTTCTCCTGATAAATCTCCAGAAGGCACCGGTGATCCATATGGTGGTGGTAGTCTTGGTTATCGCCATTATTGTAGCTGATATTTCTGGCAATGCAAAGCGCGCGAAGCTGTTCCTTGTGCACCGACCGCAACAGGATCAGCATTGCGCGCTTCACCGACCCGATCGCAGGATCTACTCAATCTGGTCCGGCGCCTAGTCTGGAGGTATCTGATTTGATTGATTGCCTTCCTTGGTCCCAATCCTAATCTTCTGACACGATCTCCTAAGGTAAAGATACGGCGTCACCGCTCTCTGTTCACGATCCGACCGCGCGATCACGATCCGCGGTTGCGAGTGATCTCCCGCCGATGCGTCCACTGGTCGAGTCTTTCATCCTACGGTGAATTGAGCCACGTTGGACATTTTGTTGGATTCTCTGTTGGTACGTTTGGCAGCTCAGCAGAAGATGGCGGATCAGTATGGTGAGTTCGAAAAAGTCTTGCGATTTCAAGTGACAAGAGGCGATAGGATGGAGGAAGAGATCGCGTACCTGCTAAGATTGGTGTCTCCATTCGTACAATATATACAACGGCGATATGACATATCTTAGTGTCAACTGCACGAAGCGATTCACGATTCGATCGAATTACAAAAGAAATTAGGCGATTGTCTCGATCGATCCCAAGAAGTCGAACGATTGTGATTCGCGCTCAATCTGCCTAGCTTTTTCCGTCGCGTGGATCTAGAACCTTTTCAACGCCAGCTGGATGATCTCGAAGATCGCGTGTCGAAGGCATCTAAGTATAATAAACGCTGGTCCCATTACAAACATAAGATCAGGAGTTGCACGCCGACATAACCGACTTGCAGGCCGGATGTGATCAGCTGTTTCACGATGTCGCGGATCGAGACGCCAGCATCAGCCGATTGCCGATCCAGGTTATGCGTAGAAAGGCAGAGCCATTATTCATGATAATCACCACGATCGGCGATTCCCATGTCGATGTCGATGGTCAGAAAATCTTGGCCGATATAATCCCTTGATCAACTCTGCCAATTTCTCACGAAACTTAGGTGCAACCGGTCGTACCTGTTGCGCGATCGGGGCTGCTCCACCAGCATTAATATCGCAAACGGCTCCTCGTGTAGCTGGAGGTAACGCGTTTTCTTTTCTATTAAAAAGTGACGGTTCCTCCAGATCAGCTTGCGTAGCTGTTTTTCTCAGTTGTAGAAGTATATGTGGATCACCTACTTTAATATTATCGATTGTCACTTTAACATCAAGGGTTACGATCGCTGGCAATACTGGAATATCAGGATCCATATCATTTTCCAAATTCGTGATAATAGACGGATTCATTAGGAGTATCCTCATTTGTTTTCTCCATCTCGCACAATTTCAGTGGCAATTACTCTTGGGGCATCACTAACCACTCCCAGAGCATACTGCTCGGAGTGCTGAACGCTGTCAACGGGATATCACTAGCTCGCATGAGCAGCAGGTAATATCTATCGACCAAGTCGAGAGCACTGTACATTGTACATTCCACCATATTGTTCTGAAGATTATCCTTGCGAGAATCAGTGTTTGAGCCGGGATAGTGGCTGCATTCAGCTTATTGTAAGCATGCGCTATTTGCCACTTCCCATTTGGCTTCCTCACACAAAACGTGAGCGTAGATTGAGGAGACTTATTCTCACGCACCATGCCAGTAGCAGGTTTTGCACGAAAGAACTTGTCAATGACGTCACATTGCTCTCGTGG